GTCTCATGATTCTATTCTTTTTTTCACATTCAGTACCCAACAATCCTAGCACCTTCCACCAGATTACTTTCATTCAGCTGCATCCTATCTACACTTAAAGCCGAAAACCATCCGAATTTTCCATTCTCATCATCCGTTGCACTTTTGAACCGGTCGATTTCCGAGTTACGTCTCCCTTCTCATTCTGCACCACCGGCCGAAGAATCGGTACTCCACCTGTTTCTGCTCCTGCTCATTCTAGCTCTGTAACCATTGGTATCCGAACATCACTGTACGACTCTACATCGAGGCCAGACACGCAAATCGCTCAACGAAAAGAATCCTGACGACGTTATCTGAATTTGTGGCTGAAAATTCCCCTGCTACATTGCTGCATAAACGAATTCGCCATTTTCCGAGAAAGCATCAGTTTTTTTCATGTTGAACTGTTTATCAAAGTGCGCAATATTACTTGTTTCCCCACTGTTCTCTGTAAAAGATAGCTTGGACGTTTCAAGATACGGATACTGACACGCCTTACCAATGTTAGATCCCCAAATCATTTGCGACAAGAACATTCATTTAATGGGACACCGATTTCTTTTGACACATCATTATCTTCATTACTATTGTAACTTTGTTGAAATTCTGACGCGCAGCATCTTCCTTGCATTTCACATAGCTGCAAACTTCATATGAAAGCTCGCGTATGCTTACCTTCACAAATAATACTAAATTGGGACAAGAGCAGTGCCTCGCAAGCCGCATGAGTTTTGTGTGATTCATTTATAGCATCCGAAGAAACAAGTGTGGAAACCGATTTCATCTTTGATTCGGCATGTTGTGAATTCCCCCAGTTTTATTGATAGCTTTCGTTGCCACAGCGATTCAAAGCGCATTTTCGGGATTAACCCTAGTGTCATAGGCAGAGAAGCCGTCGAATGCGGGATACGGATTAGAGAAAAGAACGGAGATGATTCCAGAAAATTTTGTAAATCCAGACTGAAGTTGGCATGTCGAAGAATCATCTACCGGTCGGCATATGAAGTTTTCGCAACCAATTGATCCCCCATCAGATCGGTGTGCTGTCCAACTGCTCCTGTTGTAGACGATAGGCACAGTAGAGTAGCATGACTTTTTTATTTGAACAGGGGTCGGCATATCGGAAAAGGCGGACAAAGAAGAGCTAAACTGGTCGTGAGATTAGCTGTTACCCCCCACATACAGCCCTCGAGTTACCACGTGCTTCAAACTTTTTCATCAGAACTCAGCTCAGCGCGTTCCTGAATTTTTTAGCGTATGGCATCAATCCTAACTTGCTTTAACAGCCACTTGAAACATGAACGTTCTGATCTCTTCTGCGCGAGTTCAAGCTCTTCACACAAACATCGATTCAAAAGGGGATTGGGACACAGGGAGACGTTGAGTCAAGATCCCTCAAACGTTTTCACAAGTCAAATCTGCAAGTAGGCTTTTCTGTAGTGACACTCCGGTTACAAATAAACTATGTCACATAGATACCGATCACCGTTCCTAGAGCTTCAGAGTTTCTCGGCAACCTTGAACTGTCTTTTGTACAACGCTGGGTCGTGGGTCATGAATAGGGTGCCTATGAGAAAGGGTCGAGTAAGAAGTGAGCAATATGCCTTGTTGGTTTATGTTCAAATCTGGTTCACCGGATATCTGCAAACCGACCAATTATCGGTTATGTTAGGATGAAAAGGGAAAAACTATTGCACATGAATACCAGTCCCCAAAACTGCGCGTTTCGTGTTGCTTTTGATTGTAGTTGTTCTTGAAGTCGTTACGACGTTCTATAATGATCATTGAGACGGGAATAAAAGAAAAACCAGTTTTATTTGATTTCGTCCACTGAGACGGATTGACTCGTAACATGAGATTGATTAATCCTATACATGGTGACTCCATTGTGTCCTCAAGCAGTGTTGGTGAGCGGATCCGGCGACGTCCCTGAAAAAAAAAGTTGACTATATGTATTGACTTGGCTGATTGGTAAAGCTCAATGAAATTCGTGACACACACATAGAATTTCATCTACTTCAAAAAATAATAACAGTACTCGAATTGGGTCATCTGGACTGGAACGATCCGTTGCGAATGGTGACTTGTCCGCCGTTAGCGCAGTAGGATACCTTGAGAACCAATTTTATTAGCTTAGCCATGCCCTAGAGTCCCCAATAATAACAAACCTGACCACTGAGCCCCCGCCAGCATAGAAGCGATACTCACCTTTTATTGCCTTTGAACCGATGTTCTTGAAGAATTCCTCCAATCCGAATGGGTCCATGTAGCTGTCCTTGGCTTTCTTCTTGGCTGGCTCGTCGAAACACAGCTGATGATCATTCTGAACCAAAGGTTCGACGTTGTAAACGGGATTCACCCTATCGGGTGTCATGTCAGAGTAGGTACTAGAAACATTCGTAGAACTGATGCTCGAAGAGCGCTTCTTTCCCCCACGCCTACGGCGTTTCCGACTCTCCCCCATATGCTTACACAAACTAGAAATAAACGAGGTTTGCAAAACCTCACATCGCATGTTCCTCTCTTTCTTGTTGTACAGTGCTCGGCGCTTCTTCATTGCCAGGGTCAGAAGGTCCGTTGGGCGCATCTCGGTAGTCACGAAGGAATCGTCATCAGATGACGACGATGATGAAGACGAAGGTTCGAATCCATACATTATTCTTCAAAGATAGAGTTGAGAAAGGAGAAAAATAGCAGCGGCAACGAAAACGACGTGCGGCAGAGAGAACAGAAAGTCGACTGAACGAGCGGGCGGTGTGGCAGGGTTTATATACTGACGTAGAGACGCAGAGATGTGTGTGACCGCAAAGAGCGCGCACCATGCTTTCATTATTTGTAACTTTTATAGTTTTGACTTTTATCAAAGTCTAAAAACATTTTCATGTACAGAATCATGTCGGCAACGAAGACAAAAAAGAATTAATAAAATATAAACTATTTTGATTGTTTCGAAAAAATCATGTGACTTCTCAGTTCCTTCGGATGCGTCGCGGTCGGCAAGAGCGCAGACGGCGAGAGAGCCCTATTGATTGGCGCTGTTGTGAGAGACGAAGAGTTGTTTCGTCAAAACGAGGTCCGCGTGGGACGTGCATGCGTCATGAATACGAATAATTTCGAATAACACGAAAACAACGAGATGCATCTAGAAGATGTACTTCTGGGGGTGTTCTTATTCAGAGTTTTTATGAATAATGATGGATGTGACACACTAAAGTTGCCGATAAATGGGCTTACTGTGAAACCTGTATTAAAAGCGCCCTTTCATAAAATGCCCACTCTATTAAAAATGCCCTCCGAGAGAGATTTTAAAGAATTTTGAACGAGAAATCACCAAAAAAATTTGGAAAAACGCCCGGAAAAATAGAAGGGCCCCTCTAATTGAAGGACACCCGTAATAGAAAGACCCTCCGAAGGTGCCTTGTCCCAAAAGCTCGAACGAGCCAAAAGTCTGAAATATTACGTTTTTGCCGCACTTTTTCATAGATAAAAAAAAACGACGCCTTTCAAATTCTCAGGTCAAACTTTTTTTAATTCGACAATATATACAATTTACAGGTGATGTCGGTACTTCATTTTAGTGTCTTTTGATCTTCGGAAAAGGATTTCGCTCGCCGTGGTATCTCCACTCTCTTTGTGTTCCTCGTGAACTGGGTCGATAGCTTTATCAAAACTGAAATAAAACTTAAAGACGGGTGACTCATCGAATATAAAACTTACACAGAAGCTATAATATGGCGAACTGGTTGCTTCTGAACAACCCTGGAAATCTTCTCTCCTAGATAACCAATTCCTGCCTTCTCCCTGGTGCTCTGACCGTCCTCTTCTACATAAACGGCTACGGGAACCACTTTTCCCTGCTCCCTTTTGCCGAGACCACATCCTGGTTTCCAGCCCATTCTAAAAATTACGAATTTAAAGACTAAAGGATAGAAATGAAACTGACTTTGTGAGCATCGTTCCTCCAACACCATTTCGAAGATTCTCCGCAGCCTTCTCTACAGGACCCCCGCCATCACTATTCCTTCTTTTTCTTCTCTTTCCCATTTGAGGCTGTGTCGTTTTCTTCCTCGTGAATACCGACTGCTCGAGTTTCCCAGACCTGAAAAAAGAATGAAATAGATAAAAGAAACTGACGATGGGAATTCACATGCCTCAAAAGTTCGTCGTTTTTCATCTCAATCGCCGCCCTCGCATCCATATCACCTGCTGATTTTCCTTCGTAGTAAACCGAATAGTCTACGTCCCAATCGTCAGCCCAAGCCCAATCGCAATCGGTACCTTTTTCCGTTTCATCCCAGTAATTTTTATCGGTGTACCATACGAGTCCAGGACCTCCCTTCTCCCATGTCACCTCCATTTCCTCTTCATATTTCTTTGGTTTCGTCCTATCCTGTTCTGTGACGTCTTCATGTAACGCCTCGTGACGTTCCCACTCTTCACATTGGTCATCATCATCATCCTTCCCCTCATCATTATCCTCTGGATTCTGAACTCTTCTCACTTTTTCAGTGGGGTCTTCCTCTTCATCAGCAACATCTTCAATAGTTTTGTAGTACTCTTTCAAACTAGACGATGGTGTAGTTGTTCCATACTCAAACGGTACTTCCCCAAACTTCTTCTTCTTTTTCTGAGTTTGAATTCCGAGTTTCGCGATAACAGAAGCTGGTAAACGGCACATTCGAATTTGCTCCAAAAAGTATTGGCTCGGTGTTCCAATATTTCCATTTGGCATCACTGCTGGCGGCTTCAGTTCGATCATTTCCTTCAGATCAGCAATTGAAATAGACCCTGAGGAACCTTCTCCATTAGGCCCTTGAACTTTTAATCGATCCACGAAGCATCTTCGAGGAACATCCGAACCTGCCGAATTTTGCCAGTTCCTTTTATGAAACTCTTGGATGAATTCCTCGCGATCCTTTTCTGACTTCAACGCGACTATACAGCAGCACGTGTTGCTTTTGGTTACTTCTTTTCCTTCCTGAAAAAGCGTTTTCAGTTTGAATTTTCGAGGAATCGAAATCTAACCGCTTCAGACTGAAGTTCCGGCCGATGACGATAATGGAAGCATTCAAATCTGCCAGCTTCAATAAATCGTTTAAAATAATTTCGTAAATCTTTCGAATGGAGCTTTTGTGGAATATTTCTGACTATCGCATAGCTATCTGAAAAATGATTTGACTTTTAATTAATAATAAAATTAACTCACAATTACTCACTTCTTCTTTTTCCGCAGTTGCGACTTCTCTCCTTTTGGATTTTTGCAGGAATTTGTCTAAAATATCCTTATTTGTCCTCGATCTGTTCATTATAGTTTTTTTCTTGGTTTTTGAGACGAAATATGTGAAATTTTTAGTACTTACGACACTCCGTAATTCCGCCTCACACTTGGTTTAGCGTAAATCGACACTTTGTTTTTCAGCGGGCGTTCAAATTTCAATGCTACGTGTGGTTATCTGGCTACTGGTCCAGTGTGCAATCACTGATGCAGCAGCTTTAAAAGTAAAGCATTACAGTAGGAAAAGATAAATGAACTATCGAGAAAGTTTCCTATGTTTTTAGATCCGGATATATGTGGTCGTCAGTCAACTTATACCAGTTTTATGTTGACCGATGCTGATGGTAACACTGGAAACCCAACTCATCTTGCTCCATGGGCTGCTCAAATTCGGGTTCAAGCTGGAGGTGGTGACTATGAAGTGATATGTGGGGGCACCTTGATAACTGCTAAGCACGTTCTAACAGCTGCTCATTGCTTCCAAAAGAAATTTGGAGCTGTAAAACCAGGTGGAGAAGAGAATAGTATGTCTGGAAGATACTGTGAAGAGTAGGTTTATAAAGAGTAACGTGGACTACCATAATCAGGATATTCTAGAAATCAGAGATTCACCGATTCAGAAATCTTGAAACGAACCCAGGTGACAGTGGGAGCAATGTGTACCAGAAAGTCGGAAAAATTCGGTTGTGTTAATGAAAGACAGAATGGAATCACTCTCAAAGTGTCTAGGTAAGTAAATCATTTTGATTCATCTAACCATGTCTGAAGATCTGATTGTCGGTCTCATCTTGTTCTGTGTAAGTACCGTAATACCTGTAATAGAAGGGCCCTAAACTTTTTATTTTGAGTCAATTTATCTCGGCTCCTGTAAAATATATGAAAAAGTTATCAATTGATATATTGTTCATCGTAATCTCAAAAACATTGTATCAGTTGACAATTTTTTGATATCTTGCGTAGGAATTGAGATAATTGAGCTCAAACTTGACAGTGTGGGGTCCCTTCAATTACAGGATTCAAGGTATGTTAAGCTCCTGGTTTCAGATTCATAATGGGAGATTTCTACAAAACCCACTGTGAACAAGGAAACGATATTGTGATTTTGGAATTGGAGAGTACTGTAGATGACGTGGAGGGTGCCAACTATGCCTGTCTTCCATTCCTACCGGAAACAAAAATTCAGGAGGGGACCACTGTAACATCTTTTGGATGGGGATCTGATCCAGGGAAAGGCTTTGATAACAGTGCATTTCCAATGATTCAAGTGCTGACTCTAGGTATGCTTAAATTGGTTACTGCATTCGCTCTTTGATCTCAATTATCTCGATTCCTGCGAATGACAGCAATCATTTTCCAACTAATAAAATATTGGGGAAATGCTGATAAATAATTTATCAGTTGACAAGTTTTAAATATCTTTGACAGGAATCGAGATAATTGAGCTCAAAGTTGACCATTTTAATAGGCTTCTATCTCAAACGGTAACACTGAATACTAAAAAAATTTCCAGTACCGGAATCTCTGTCTACTTGCGAAGATAACTGGGGAACATCCGTTCCATTCGATTCGTTCTGTACTGCGGAAGAAGAAGACAAGAATGTGTGCTCTGTTAGTTCAATCCTCACTTCTCAGCTTCATTCCATTCTTTTTCAGGGGGACAGTGGAGGTGGTCTGACATTTCATCAAACTGAATCGTCTCGTGAATTCATCATCGCTATCGTCTCATATGGATCCGATTGTGTTCAACTGATCGGAGGCTCCGAACCAAGATCCCAGATCAACACTGACGTTCGAAAGCATCAGAAGTTCATTGTGGACTTCATCAATGGGGCTTGATTGAGAGTGATGTTAATAAAATGTTAAATTCATCATTATACATTCGATTTTTTATGGTGTCAACTATTTTTAATTTTAGAATCCTAGGAATTATGTTCAACTTGACCAAAGTATTTCAAACACATTGAAAAACGAAAAAAAAATGCTCTCTGAAACTTAAACTTACAGATAATGGTATACTATAGGCGGTAGAAAATGCCAGGGTTTGACTAGCTGTTATCGGCCTACTCATTCTAGAGGAGAGTCCTATTTTTTTTCATCAATTTCCCCGGTTTATCTTTTAATCACTAGTTTACTTTATGTCTCCCATTTTCATAGTCACTTGGTATGCAAAATTTCCGCATTTCCCCTAATAGAAGCCTACCCAAACCGTCAACTATGAACACACTTTTTGCAATTTTCTGGGAAAGATATCAAAAATTTGTCAACTGATAAAACATTGATAATATTCTGATAGCAATTTTGTTAGTTGACACATTTTCGATATCTTTCGCAGGAATCGAGATAATTGAGCTCAAAGTTGACACACTGTTACTATACTGAAAATGTGAAATGAGTAGTATGTTTCAAATTGAAAACCAATTACCAGAAAAAAAAATATTAGCCTGATCATGCAAAATTGGAAAGCATTTCCCCAAAAAACTTCCTCTGTAAAAAGCATCTGTCTTTTTAATTTCGAATTGGAGTAATCAGATCACATTCACCATTTTTTTACTGCCAGTAATCTCTGATTCGACCCGTCTAGTCAAGTGTGTTATTGAGTAATTTAATCGTACGTCCTGAACCTAAGTTCTAAGAATTCAGTGTAGTTTCTTTGCGCCAGACACATCTCTGATAAATGTTCGAGGAATTCCTTCGATTCTCAAGTATAATAGATTCTCGTGTTTCCAAACAACTAAATGGGATAAAAAGAAATTAGATCTCACCTGATTTGCTGTTTCTCTATTTTTTCAACCTTCTAAAATCAATTTATTAAAGGTGGGGGGACATGAAAAAAATAATGTTCTCGAAATTTCTTTTAAATATGCCTCTCGAGGAGTTGAACGTGTGGGACGAGGATTGAGGGTGCGGCGCCGCTACCGACTGAGCTACACGGGCAAAGAGAAAGCGCACGCCCGATTGCATACATAAAGGCGAGGACGACCGCTGTACGCAGAGTGACATTAAGCGTTGTACACCGTCACGGTAGAATGCATACTCTGGCCCCAAAAATCCCCCGTAAAATCTCCTGTCCCCCCACCTTTAAAATAATGAATCAGATTTTCGCTAGAAAGCATTGGAATACCCTTTAAAACATTTCAAAAGTCACTTTCGTAAAATTCGAGTATCAAAAAGTCAATCTCATTTTGTTTCGGCACACATTCTCCTCTGATCTCTGAAATTCACTTCTTTTTTTTTCTCACGGACATGTTGTTTGCAGGAGTGGTAACTACGTTTTGCTCACCAGTGTTTCAAAGTAGCGTTTATAACAAAAACTAACTGAAATTCTCTTATTTGTTCCATTTCATTATCTACCCATGTCTGAAGACCTGATTGTCGGTGGTATTCTATTCTGTGTAAGTACCGTAAAACCTGTAATAGTAGAGCCCTCTTAATTTTGATTATGAGCCAATTTATCTCAGTTCCTGTAAAAAAAGTTGTCAACTGATAAATTATTTATCATAATATCACAAACATCTTACCAGCGGACATCTTTTTGAAATCTTCGTTAGGAACCCAGATAAATAGGCTTAAAGTTGCAAGCTCGGGGTCCTTCTATTAAATTTCAAGATAATTAGTTTTTCGATTTGTTTCACATTATAATCCTTTAGATTTCACTTCTCGGAGTGGTTTCTAATTGGACAGTGTTATTGTTTCTCCCAAAATCAATTCACAAATCATTTGGAACCCTCACCAGGAATCAGGCATTCGGAGATGCTTTGCAAACAACTACGGTATTCTTTGTGGTTGTTCCAATGGTTTTGTTGTAAGTATAGAACTTGAAAACGATAAATGTTAATACCTGGCAATTCAGTGACATTCAAATAATCAAAACGAATTCAAACCTGGTATCTTTTGTGATGCTTTTCGGATATGAAGTATCAGTTCTGTCTCACCTTTTATTATCGTTTAATCGTCTTTGTGCTGTATCAAGTCCACTAAAGTATCATCAATTATACAGGTAATCAGAGTTTTATTTGTAATTAAAAATCATTTATCTCCAGTCAAAGACTAACAATATGTATGATCATAATAGCCAATTTGTATTCTCTTGCTTCAATTCTCGTGTTATTCGCTAGTGGCTGTAAGTATTATTGGAGCAGTGAATTGCACATGTTCATGTATCATGTGTCGAATGCATGTGTTAATTTTTCGTTCTATGGTATATTCTGTAAATATCTGGTTATTATTCTAATTATTCTGATGATAGATCTGTTCAGCATTTATACAGCAAGACAGTTGTACCGACAAGCACACAGTGGAAATGTAACTAAACAGATTAATAAAAAAGAAGTGGGATTGCTTGTTCAGGTAAAGAAAAAAGAGATAAAATGTATTTCAGTAATTAAACATCTAATTGTAGACATGCCTTCAAGGAATGCTATTCAGTATTGAGCTAGTTTGTTATTTCGTAGTTTCCCCACGGGTCCAGAATAAATGGTCTCAATTCTTCCTCACAACAGTTGCCTTCTCAACAATTCATGCATGCGATGGGTTCGTATTGGAACAACTTATTAATAACTTATAAGTTATGAAATTGTGTTTTTTCAGAGCAATCAGTATAATGTGCAATGCGGAATTTCGAGAACTTTTATTCAGAAAACCAGTTGTCACATCTTCTCTTGCATTAAGTAAAGTTGGCCCGAGGAGCGACACGCAAACAAAGTTTTGAGATAATTTTTGTATTCTACAAGGCTGACCAAGAAACTTTTTGAAAATAAAAAATTTTATTTAACAATGGCTTAATTTCTATATCTTAAAATATACTTTTTACTTGTCTGTTTGGCATGAAAAATGGATTACCATAAAAAATCCAATAGAGCGGCACCCAGACGTTCAATTTGTGCCTATTTATCTCGGTTCTTGTGAAAGATATCAAAAATTAGCCAACTGGCGAAATGCTTCAAATATCATAATGAATGTTTTGTCTGTTGACCACTTTATGATGCCTTTTACAGGAAAGCGATATATGGGCTCAAAGTCGGCGGTTTCAAATTCATCACTAAAATTGATGAAAAATGGTACTATTGTTTAACACAACCTTTCTTTTTGAAAATTAATTACACAAAATGTTATAAACTACAAAAATAAAGTTATATTTTCATATTGTATTCTCTGAAATTTTGACATCACATGGACGGGTAAGTACTTTTTCAGACAGCCAAGGCTCGCCATTTTCGATTGAAATGATCATTTTCAATTAGAGATCCGACCAGTAGTGTATTTTTTTGATTTTTTTCCCTTACAAAATAATAATAAATGAGGTTCATAGAATGTGTTTTATTTGTCTGGAACACCTCACAACAATACTCAAAAAAGAGCTTATCTAAAAAGAAAAGAAGGTTACTAGTCGTAATGCTTGATATTTTGCCTTTTAACTATTCAATCAATTGCTTTCTTGGAAAACAACAAACTACAGCAGAACACGATGATCAAAAAACTAAGGAGCTGGTCTACGAGTTTGCCAAATATTCGATTTATTATACAACTCGACTTTTGTTAGGGCAGAGTTATTATATTAGCTCACTAATCAGAACATGTGGTGGTTTCCCATATCACATCATCTGAAGCAAATGTAAAAACTTTAGTTCCGTTTCTATAGTAAAACCTGTAATAAAAGTCAAGTTTGAGCTAATTTATCTCGGTTCCTGTGAGATATTTCAAAAACAAGGTCAACTGACAAAACATTTCTGATATTATGATAAACAATTTATCAGTTGACAACTTTTCTATATCTCTGACAAGAACGAAAAAATTGGCTCAAAGTTGAAAGTTAGGGGGATATTCTATTAGAGGTTATACGGTAATCCTCTTCAAGCTTTTAAATATTTGCTTGATTTCATTTGGGTCCAATTTGATATCCCATGACAAAAATCAGAAGACCTTCAGAGCGGAATAAATGTGAGATTTTGATCTTTTTCAGTTGAACTTGCTGATTTTGATCCATCTTTGGAAATAGATTCAGTCATGCGCTTCCAACTGTATCTTGCGAGTTTTTGCATATTTATTTTTGAAAAAAAAATTAAAAATTTAAAGAGACCAAGCTCCGATAAACTCATTTTGAACTTTAAAAAATTCCAATAAACCAGGTCAACGGTTCTTGATGATCATCCGTCGTCAATGGAATTCATCAACTGAAGTTTTTCAAGTTTTCAAACCTTGATTGAACTGATGTATGAATTCAATACATTCCAAGTTTCGAAATTCACTGATTCTAAACATCTCATCTCAGATTTACTACATTTTCTCATTCTCGATTTTATTTTTGCAGAAATCCGATATTTTTTAGTTCCTTATTGTGAAGTCTACTCGACTTGCACACTATAAAATGACAGAAAAAGCTAATTAGGAAAATCACATACGCAGATGAAATTTAGGAAAATATTGTGATAGACTGACTAGTAAAAAACTGTATTCCAGTTCCTTGTTCTAGATCGTACGAAAAAATATTTTGATAGATTGGCTATTATAAGAACAGTATCTTGGAAATGGAAACCCATGTTACGGTTTAGTTTTCGTTTTCTCTCGTTCATTCAAAGATCTTAAAGGTGGGGGGACAGGAGATTTTCCGTAGTTTTTTTGTAGTTAGAGTATGCATTCTACCGTCACGGTGTACAACGCTAAATGTCACTCTGCGTACAGCTGTCGTCCTCGCCTTTATGTATGCAATCGGGCGTGCGCTTTCTCTTTGCCCGCGTGGCTCAGTCGGTAGCGGCGCCGCACCCTCAATCATCGCCCTCACAAGTTCAACTCCTCAAGGGGCATCTTTGAACGGAATTTCGAGAACATTATTTTTTTCATGTCCCCCACCTTTAATTTGAAGATTCATGGATACCTAAAATTCCATTTCAAAAACCACATTTTCTTGAATATCCGTGTTTTGACCATGAACGTCTAGTGATACTCTGTTTTTCTTCTTTTCGCATAAAGCAGGAATATAATCAGTACTCATAGAGTCGTGATTTGATCATTTTTTAAAGAAAAACAACTAATTGGATTATTTGAAAACATGATTACTAGGACTATCGTGATATATACGATATAAAGTCGTTGTCTAGAAAAATGCACTGGCCATTTACAGAAATGATTTATTTTGAAAAACTTCTGTCTCTCTAATTCTTTATATAAAACCTGCATTTAACGAGTTTTCACTCAAATACATTTCAGGCTATTGCCCTATTTCCGCCACCATGGAAGACAGCGTTATCGTTGGAATCATTCTGTTATACGTAAGTTTCATCAAATTAGGCGTTTTGCTACACAATACCGTTTGAAAGGATTTACAAAAAAAAAAAAATTTCCAGTTGATTTTCGTCCATTTTGCTAATTTTCAGGAGTCTAGAGCTCGCTCTCAAGTTTCTGATCACTTTGAAAGTTTCGGAGGGTGTAAAACAGAAAAAAAACTTTGCATTCACAGAATTTTTTGAAAATTCCTTTTATTCTCAGTTTCTGAAAGACACCCCTTCCTGGTCCGTTTTTGTACTGAAATCGTCAAAAAAGCGTCTTTCAGAAATCGGCAAATTACTGAAAAACTATAAGCTTTCCAAAAAATCAGTGAATGTAAAGTTTTCAATGCAAATCTGTTTTAGATCCTCCAAAAATTTCAAAGAGATCAAAAACTTGATAGTCGAGCTCCAGGCCCTTGAAAACTGTCAAAATTGCCGAAAATCAAGTGAGAAGTACGTTTTTGTATGTTTTATTGAACGGTACCGTATTCGTGGGTTCCAGGTCTCGATGTTCGGGGTTCTCACCAACTGGACCGTTCTTTTGTGTCTCCCAAGAATCGCATCTTTCAACAAGTCTTTTGGATATATCACTTGGAATCAAGCATTCGGAGATGCACTCCAATCTACCACCGTTTTCATATTGGTAGTTCCAATGGTCTTTTTGTAAGATCCCCAACAATTTTAAATAATTAATTTAATCATTTCTAGTGACCTTGAATTCATGAAGACCAACTCCAACTACATCTCTCTTTCGATGCTGTTGGGATACGATATTTCCGTGCTCTCTCATCTTTTGCTTGCTCTGAACCGTTTGTGTGTTGTGGCCAGTCCAACGAAATTTCAGTTGTACAAGTAGGAATTCAATCTTTTCATTTTCCATTCACATCTTCTGATTTCAGCGAGAAACTGACGTTCAGCATGATTATTGCTGTCAATATCTACGCTTCCGCCTCCATTGTTATCTTTTTCTTAAGTGGATGCAAATACAGTTGGAGCAGTGAAATGTGGATGTTCCTCTATCATGTCTCCAATCAATGCGTCACCTTCTCCTTCTACGCAATCTTTTGTAAATATATCTGCATAATTTTCATAATTGTGTTGATTGACGTATTCGTCATCTGTAAGGCTAGACTCATGTATAAGAAATCAAGAACCGATGCATCGAGCAGACCGATGAATTCTAAAGAGATCTGTTTTCTCGTTCAGGTATTATTTGGGAATTTGGGAACCTTCATCGAGTTTTTAAATTTTCAGACATGTCTTCAAGGCGTTCTTTTCAGTATTGAGCTGATTTGTTACTTCATTATCTCTCCGACAGTTGAAGACACTTGGGTTCGATTCTTCATGACAACTTTCGCTTTTTCCACTATTCATGCATGCGATGGGTAAGCTCAATCTAGATTTCCAACAAATAGCAAATCGAATGTTTGAAATTCCAGGGCTATAAGCATCGCATGCAACTCCGACTTCCGCTCATACCTCTATAAAAAATCGATTCGTAAAATCCGCGCTGGAGCCGAAGCATCAACGATTTATGGATCTCGTGTCGAGACAACAACTATGGGATTCCGATCGAGATCCACATCAAGATACAGCGCAAATTTTCAACATTGATAACATTTATTCTCAGTGATAACAACTTCTATCTTGATCTGGAAATGTCATTTCTAAATTCAACTCTCCTATATCCATCCATTGTGTTGCTGTTCCAAAATGAATAAACTTTTTTGGTATTAACAGAGTTATTTTCTTTTGACAAGGCTGAAAAATTAGATTTGGCTGATTATCTTGAAAAGTCAAGACGTACTTTTATGGAGTCCTCACAGTCATGATAAATGTATAGTACTGGATCAATTGGCGTCATTTCTCTTGTAGTTCCATCCAAACGAAATTCACCGTCTTTATCAGTGTACTTTTCGTCCAGGAGATCATCAGGGTCACCAGGATCTGGAACAAAAATATTGAAAATTTAGCTTTGTATGTAGAATGAAATGAAGCTTAGGACGGTTAAGGTTTTGAAAGCTTGGATATATCTGATCATCAATTTTTCATTTTTAACTCTAGTTTCCACTCATCAGCAGGTCGCGGCCAAAGTTTTATTTTCAACCCTATGATCAATTCTTCTCGCAACGTTTTTCACCTAAAAATCATTGAGCAAAATACACAATCACTCTTTGAAAACTACCGTAAGCACCACAATAGAATGGCACTCTAGCTTTCAACTTTGATCAAATTTATCTCAGTTCCTGTGAAAGATATCAAGAAGTTGTCAACTGATAAAATATTTTTGGTATTATGGTAAAGGTTTTGCCGGTTGACAACTTTTTGATATCTCTGACATGAAATGAGTTATACGGGCTCGAAGTTTATGTTTATGATATGCTCAATAACGCTTGGTAATTTAGAACTTGAGCTAACCAAATCCAGACTTGGAAAACAATTAGGCATAATCAGTTCATTGACCCCATTAAGTATCTGACCCCTTTACATGAATATCGTAAACCCCGTTAAATCATAGAAAACAAAAACTTCCTAGTTTTCAAAACACTGTTATTTAACACCACTCACTTGTATCGATATCGAATAGTTTGACTTTTGCATTCTTCCACGGCTTCCCTCCACAGGTTAATTTCCCTTTAACTGCTACTCCCTGAAGTCGAAATGCAAACGAATTGCTCATTGATAGAGCAATAAGAAGGAAGCAATAACAATTTTTCATTCTTAACCATAACATTTATGTTCTAGATCATGTGATCATTTCGATAAGATGCTTCTTTAGACTTGAACATGTATTACTAAATCACCAAATAACACAATGATAATAAAAACCATTTATTTTTAGCTGAAAACATAACTACCAAGGATCATTTCTTTCATCTGGTTCCGCATCTCTCCCTCTGAATACATTTTGAGTGGTTCTTCTCTCCACCAACTCTTCTTGATGTCGACGTCTTCTATCCACGTGGGATTGTCGTTCCTCGTTGTGTTTCACACGGGTTTCCAGGTTAAATGAGCCCAAATCGAAAGTGAGACCTGATCCGACATAATATTTGGGAATCTCAAACTTTATTTTTCGTTGTCCTGGCTTCACTCCATCGTCACAGTCGTGGTATACAGCGATGTATGGGGTGTAGACTTGCTCGATTGTGTTCGCCGTCAGTTCAAAGTTTCCTTGTTTATCAGAATGGGTGTCGTTGATGACGGATTCTAAAAGAAACTATAATCGCTCGAGGTGTTAGGTGGTGATCAGAAGTCACACATAGTTTCTATTAGTTTCCCGAACGAGCTTCAAGTGCTCAAAGAGAGCCAAAGCATCTACCGTCAACACTCTAATAAAAGGCCACCCGACCCGTCAGCTCTGGACCTATATTTCTCGTTTCCTGTAAAAGATATCAAAAAGTGGTCAAATGAAAAAATGTTTATCATAATACCAACAATTTCTTTGTTGATTACTTTTCTTTGTTGATTACTTTTTGTATCTTTTACAGGAACCGAGATATTTTCGTTCAAAGTTGGCGGTCCGGTAGCCTTCTATCAGAGTGTTTAGTATCTTCGGTATGTTCTTAAACATCCAAATAATATTTTTGAAATTCTTAAATTTAGAAAAATGATAATAAACAAAAAAGGACTGAAATAAACTAACTTTCTGAATTTTTCCATAACTTGACCGTAACTGCTGAAGCCGGGTATTCAGCACACTTGAGATGTCCTTTAACAGAAATCAGATGGGAATCAACTGATAGAAAAATTAGTGAAGAGGCAATAAAATAAACAATCGATAACATTGAATGCTCTTTTTTCTTTCCATCTGACTGATTCTCGCTTATCGCTTTGATTATTTATGTTTTATCAATTTGTTGTGTATGTGTTTCAATTTTTATTGTTTGGGGGTTTTCCAAAAATATAAACGTTTTACATAGATAATTGAGAGATGAATCTGGGAAGATTTTCACAAATAAATACATTGAAATGAAAAAGAGAAACGATAGTTGATGATACTATTGTGTCACAGAAAGGGGGGATGGGAGACACCAGTAAATGTCTAATTGAACAAACAAAAAGTAACGGTATTCAGAGAGATCCCAGAAAATTCGAGAAATTTTTCAATGCTATGGGGGACTGGGAATATAAATGAGAAGAGGGGAATCTACCAGATCGAGCATTCAGGGAAATAAGGAAGATATTTCGAATAGAAAAGGAAGAACATTTTTATGCACATACATATAAAAAAGATCATTCGAAATTGGTAAACCCGTGGGGCGAGATTTTCTGGTGAAGAAGTTGAGGAGAGAAGCCGGGATAATGGTGTGGAAAATATAGAAGCAGATACACATAGGGAAGAGCAGCAATCGCATAATATTAGAGGCCTGAAAGCAGAAAAACGGTGAGTGTGTTAGAAACGAAAATGGTGTAGTGGGCATACTTGTCGACTGGTCGATTCTGGGTGATAGCTCCCTTCAAAATTAAAATTGTGACCCAAACCGGATGATAAAGCTCGGCGAGCTCTACGACCTCCAATAAAAATCGACCAGCGCTTAAATCAGTAGCAGGGTGCAGGTCGGGCAAAAATCCGGATCATAATTTTGTTTTGAATTTGGGCGATTCTTATTGGAGATTGTAGAACTCGCTGAGATCTATTATCTGGTATGTTGCTTTGTCCACATTTACAATTTTGAAGTGAGTTATCAGCCGGACCGGAATCGGCCCATCAACAAATATGGTAGTGGTGGAAAAATAAGGGAAGACGCTGAACAAAAAATGGTTTAGGAGTTTCAGGAGAGAGAAAGGACACTCTTTTTTAATTTTTTTTGGCGATAGATAGAGAGGGGAGAGAGAAAGGCACAAACATTTCAGTACAAACCGCATCCTTGCAAGTTGGCCTGGATAATCATATCGATTACGGAGTCGAGAATCATCTGAACCTGATCCGTATCCGTTGCACACGTCTGATGCATGTATATCGTCTTCTCTGGATTCGCATTCAATCCGTCAAACTTCTCCTCAATGTATCGACACGACTCATCGTAGGTTTGGGCTCCTGAAAAAGAGTGTTCAATCGATGAAAAGCGTCAATTGAAAGACTGGTGTGAAAGGAACTAAGGGAACATGCTCTCTTACCTTTGTAGTCTGGGAATGCACTTTTGATCGAGGTTCGCTTGATTTTCTCAGCGAACAAATCTTTTTTGTTTAAGAAGAGAATCATTGAAGTGTTGATAAACCAGCGGGAATTGCAGATTGATTCAAACAAGCGCATTGATTCGATCATACGATTCTAAAAAGAATTTTTATTTGGTTCAGAGCTCATTAGTTTCGAAAATAGGTTGGTTTTTTACATGACTGGGTTATAATCATAAGACTGATTAGAATGCTCGAGTGAAACCTACCGTAGTCTCATCTTCGAACAAAACTTGATCGTACTCCGAGATGGCCGCAATGAAGATAATTGCATTGACATCTTCGAAACAATGAATCCACTTCTTACGCTCGGATCGTTGACCTCCGACATCGAAAACTCTGAAATTGAATTTCATTATCTCAATTCTGTTTTGAGTTTACTCACCTGAAATCGACACTCTTCATTTGGAATTTGACCTCAACGATTCCAGTTGTCTTGATTCTAGACAAAAGGATATCCTGCTCTGTTGGAGTGTAGTCCGGCAATTTGATTCGATCAAGACTGCCAAGAAAACTGAAAAGTGAGAAATTATTGAAAACATGAATCAAGCAGGATAATTATATTTACTGTGGTGCACTCTCCGGCATTTGGAACTCGTTTCCTTTTGCCATGACCGTCTGAATCCCTTTGTCCGAATATAATGCTTGAAGTGCGTTTGCTAATTCTTCTGGGAACACTTTCGCCTCCTGGAGCATTTTGTGAGCCTCCATTACAAATTTCGCGTCATTCTCTCTGATTGGTTTATCAAAAGTCATTCGAAGAGATTCCATTCCTTTCAATATTGAAATCATTGCCTGAAGAGTGTTATTGAATACAACACTCTTTTGTTGTTCCGATTCTTCAGCTGTGAATCCGTGATCGTGGAGAATCCTCATCTGTTTGAGTACTGTACTCTTTCCACATTCTCCGGCTCCTGAATATAAGAAATTTCGTGAAAAAAATGGGGCCAGCTGAAAATCAAAGAAAGGAGGTCACATCTTTCAACAACGCACATGACTTAATGACGTCTGGAGGTTTTTTCTAGAAACCTTTAATTTTCAAAGGTTCGAATTCCAGTCAACTACACAAAATAAGGTTAGTTTTAGTCTTGTGATTCTTTAATTATTTCCCATGAACTTGTTCAGAAATATGACTAAGCCGGAAGCTGAGAGGGAACCGGAATCTCTCATTAGTGTCAGAAAGTCTAAGTAGGCACCGTAACCAAGGACAACGACAAGATTACAAAAAAGAAAAAATAGAGTTGTAAATTTTTCTAAAACTCACCAAGAAGCAAAAGTTTGACAACTTTCGCCTGTGACATATGATTTGCCATCATTTCCTTGTCGATGGCTTTCGACTTGAGAGTCAACTCTTTGTCCTCTGCAGACTGGCATAATCCCATGCTGCTCTCCTATTGAATTGTTCTAAAAATAAAAGGATAAAGTTGAAAACTTGAAAATCTTCAAAAAGAAGAGTGAAAAACAGCCAGAAAGCAAAAGTTCAATAAGAAAATGAAACGACAGCGGGAGACGAAAAATAAAGAGAAGACGGGAAAGAGTAAAACAGGGTAAATGAGAAAATCAGCCAAAAGTCAGAAGAAGAAGAAGAAGAATATGTTGCTCATATTATTCCAACTTCCTCTTTCAAAGTTAGGGGTTGCTTCACTAGTTTTCTGACGATACCATCGTCTGATGTAACTTTGAAAATGAAGAGATAGCTCATTAAAAGAGTTCAAAAGAGTTCACAAGTCGAACTGTAAAAGATCGGACCGTTTTGAACTATTTTGTAGAGCCTGCAAACGAGTATTACCGTGAAGCCTATGTTAGAAGAGTTCCTATAATAGAAGGGCCTCTTCAAAATGTGTCTGAAATGGAAAATTTTGGTATGTTTTCAGGGAAAAACATTCTGGAAATCCAATGCTTCCCTTTTTTTTGCATTTTTTTTGGATCGAAAACTTGCTGAAAGGGCTCTCTCTAATTGAAGGGCCTATGTAATAGATGGGGCCTCTGGAAATACCTTGAAACAGTAAAAGGATCGATCCTTCTAATACAAGTTCTAAGTAATTTTTTTGAAGAAAGTTCGATTAAGCTAATCAATAAAAATCAGAAAAACGAATCCATAATCTTTTTGAAGATAAACCAAAAAACAATTGAATATCATTAGGATCAAACGTTAAAACTTCATGAGCATTGATTCTTTGAAAAAGAATGCAAAAACAAAAATCTGCTAATAATTAAGGTGTTTTTTTTGGCGTCTGGGTTTTTGGAGCAGTCTGGTTGAATACTATAATAAATTATACTTGAAAAATCAGGGCCCGGTCCGAGAGCATGGCCTGGCCGGAGATTTTCAGAGCCCGCATTTCCACATTTTAATTTTTTTTTACTTGAAAGTCGCCATTTTTTACTTGAAATTTCAGAAGGTTTTCCAAATACTTTCTCCGCTCGTTGAAAGTAGGAAAAAAAGTTTTTTAGAATTTTTCGCGGTGAATGTTACGGACATTGGGGACCTAGAGGCTCAAACTATTTGTCATCATTTATCATGCCTACCCTTGTCCCTCATTATGTCTAGCTGACTAACTTTGAAATCACCTATCGCGTGAAAAAAGAGGATGAAGGACACGATTCAAAAATATCAATTTTGGACACAGAATTCTTGAAATCTGAAAAAAAACAGAGCGAGCATATACCTAGCTCCTGGTGCTACGCGGTTGTGGTCGACGACAAGTGAAAAAAAACAGGTGCAAATCAAAGGACTGAAAACGGGGCAGAAATTGGAAGAAAGGATAAGTGTGGAGAGAGAGAGAGGGGAATAGAATTCTGTGTTTACGTCACATGTACACAATCACAATATCGGAATACAAAGAGGCGGATTATGGAAGAATATGAAACACGATATAATATCGTCGGAGTGAAAAGATTGGAGCGTCAATAAACTATCTCAGATTCTGAGAATGTTATCCAGAAATAAACTCTATGAGATGTTCCATGATAGGAAAATCCCACTTTTAGTTACTGAGAAATTCTGCGAAGCAGTCGAAAAAAACATGACACCGAGACATCATTTCAAGAAAAAAAACTTATAACATCTATTTTGGCGAGAAGAGGTGATTATAATAATAAGTTTTACGCATATCACCACTAGCAACGAGAAGAAGGAGAGAGCCAAGACAACAGCCTCTTAGCCAACTTGTGCTCGGGGAGTTATTTTTCCTTTTTTTGTTTCCGCATTGCATTGTTGTTTAATTTAATGTCAAAAATGATTGGGTTGAGCTTGAAAAACAAGAAAAAAAACAATTGAGGAATCAGAGAAATATGGGTAAGAGAAGAAAGAAGAGAGAGTTGGAATAGGAGAAGAAGAAGTAGGGGCAGGTGATATCATAAGAGAACCTAATCAAGTTTCTTTGCTTCTGGTGCTCAGAGAGAAAAGAAGAAATGAAGACGTCTCTGGACTCAGAGAAAAGAAGAAGTTTCGAGAAGAACAAATAAAGACTGAAAAATTTTAAGATTTGTTTACGCATCACCTTATGAAACCCCCATTCGGCGAAGGAGCTTTACATCAGAACTATGCAAAAAGTTAAAAGAAATCAAAGAATCAGAAAATGTTTTCGAATTTTCCATCTGTGGCGTTTTCGAAAAATAAGCTGAATGTCTCTTGGCAATAGGACGGGGTTCCAAAATAAAATCACGAGGTCCCAAACATGACCAGTTTTGAAATGAGAAATGCCAGAAGCGCGTGGGTGGTAGCGGGTTTCTGCGAAATTAGTGAGCCTGTACTTTTTTGTCTGGAGAGGCGGAATTGCACTGTGTGAGGGCTTGGTAGCCGGGGGTTTAATAAGGGAACCAAATTTTTTTTTGATTCTTTCCCAGGAAAAAAAAAACTGTGATGTCGAAACAACTTAAGATCGTATCTGCCAAAAGACCATACTTGCAATGTTCCGGGCCGGGTGGGCCGGGCTTTCTTTCAGAATAACTCTACCCGGGTTCCTCCTTATTCATTTTCAAAATTTAAAAACTTGGATTCACAGGGCCGAGCCGGACCCTAATTTTCCATGTATGCAAAATACGGAAAACACTAATAGAAGGCAACCCAAACCTTCAACATATATCTCTGTTTCTGTAAGAGATACCAAAAAGTGGTCAACTGACAAAATGTTCATCATCATATCAAAATCATTTGATCAGTTAACCACGTTTTATACATTTTACAGGAACCCAGATATGTGGGCTCAAAGTTAGGAGTTTGGAAGACCTTCTATTAGATGATGGCCTCCTATTACTTTTTATAACACATTTCCTAGTTAGTCAAACAAGTAATTAGTAAGTATTAATCAATAAACCTAATGAACTTCGTCTAGCGTAGTGTTAGTTTCTTAATCTAATGAACTTATTGGACCGACCCATCCATCTCGAATTCAGATTCTCAATATATAACATCAAAATCAATATGTTGCTTGTTAGCAAATCTTGAAATCTTGACAGGTGTTTATGTATCGTTAATGACAGATTTTCCTTTCCAAATTTATGTTTAAAATTTTTTTCGAAACCCGAATCAATGAAGGAAGTTTGAGTCACCTCTCCAGAGTTTTTGACCGAGATGATCGAAATTAAGTTATCTTTTTCACTAGAAATTGCATCGTCAGTTTCCTCGAATGAAAAAGACGGAATTTTCTTTTCAATTCAATGAGAACAAGTAACACTAACTACAAAATCTATAATCCCCAATCTTCAGACGAGGTCTCAAAAGAAATGCTTCTTCTTCAAACTATGTGATAATATGGTGTTAGGTGATAAAGAAAAACCAAGCAGAACACTAAAAAATGAATCAGAAATAAAAAAAACAGGGTTATGGAGTTGACTAGGCGAAACGAATGAGAACTTTTCATGGAATCATTCAACAGAGCAAAAAAATCTGGCAGAAAACCCTCTAGAAAATACATGGGTCGGTGACGAATTCAGAGACAAAAAACACAATAGTATCAGTTTCTTCATTAGTTTCTAATTTTTATGCTTCGATGAGAAATAGCTAGGGGATGAGCATAACTTATGACGAATGAAGACAGACTACGTGGGTTTTCAAAGAGAAACGTTTTCTAGAAGGTTCGACTTGTCAAATGAGTGGAAACGAGGATCAAACATCGGGAAAATCATTCAATTATAATTTAAATGAAAAAAAAAACAACATGGCGATTGGTTTTTTGATCGAGAGTCTTGATTCACAGCTCAAAGTTGTCTTTTGGAATAAATTAGTTTCTGATTTAACCCTCGATCGGTCAATGATTTGACAAGTTTCGTTAAAAATAATTTTTTAGTGTTTCAATGTGTTTAAAAACAAGTTGATTCGTCTGACTTTGATGTTTGGAATAAGATTTACCTGCTCAACTTCTGGTCGAACGTTAGTCAGATACGGGTTAAAACCGCTACTAGAGCCGACCAAACTCGGACCAACTTTTGTTCAAAGTCTACTAGTATTCCAACTTCCTACTTCCCACCAAAATCGGTCGATGGTCCGCTCTACAACCGTTTTTGAGAAAGTTCAGACCAAAACCTGGCCAATACCCGTTCAAACGACAATCAGAGGTTTTTGAAGACAGGAGATACGAAGATGCTATCTGATTTCTAGTGGATATTTTTTCAAAGTTGTATTCTTATTCGAAACCAAAACTCTCTTCAAAAAACCCTATCCAAAAAAGGTAGAACTGGAGTAATGAATGACTAGAGGAACAAAATGAAATCATGAGAACCTTTTCCGTATGATCTTTGAGCAATCTCACCTGACTTGGCTGTTTTGGTTTTTTTTTCCAATTTTCGGAGAAATGTCTCGTTTTTCACAAATTCGCTCTACAAAAAAAATATAGTTCGAATGTCTGGGTTCTGATCTTGTTTAAAAAATTTAAAATGTCTACTGAAATCCATAAAAATGTCTAGAACCTGAAATTTGTTTTCCATGAAACCAAGAATAAAACGAAGACGTGCGAATTCCGAAAACAAATCGCTGAGAAATGCTCTCGGGAAACTATGGGTCAAGCGTCACGGTTAGAATATCGAAACTACGAAAACTGGAAAAAGGGGATTGTATAGAATAAAGATGTAGTTCCAGAGAGATGACACTATGAATTTTGAATCTCTGAAGTCTTGTGACGAAACTGCTCTTCGTTATCATCTTATCAGAGGAATAATGAAGCAGAGTAGAAGGGAAAACGAAGTAAAGTAATGAGATTGAGTAAAAAAATAGAAAACAATGAGATTGAAGTCTGAGGGAACGTGTCTGTGAAGGGAAGCTGAGTCAGTTTCGGACAAATTGAGAAAGTGGGAGGAAGTAGAGAGAAAGGAGAAAGGGATTTGTATTCAGTTGAACAAGAGGCGACTAACTAGTTAAAGGGTGATAATGGAAGTTAGAAGTCTTTATTGATTAAGTGCAGAGTTTTGGAAAGGTGCATTCTGAATCAGATCAAGAAGATGACAAGTCGGAGGATGACGTTCTTTGATAGCTTAAGCGTATCACATATGTTTTTAAAAAATCAGGTAAAAACAATTGTTGAGAGCGGTTAATAACGTAATCAAATTCAGGTGCACACCGTTTTTTCCAAAAGTTTCAAATTCGGTTTTTTAAAACAACGAATTTTCTACTTTGAAAAAAAAACTTCTGGAATACTCGAGTGGCTTCTGGTCAGAGATTGGTCAGATTCCGGATAACATCGCTACTAAAGTCAACCAAACTCCGGCAAACTTATGACAAGATTCTGACCTATGTAGTAGTATTTCAACTTTCCGCATAAGAGGAAAATACATAGGTCCATGGTCCGCTATACAGCTGTTTTTGGGTAAGATCCAACCCAAATCTGCTGAAATCCGTCCAAAAGCCGAACCCTTCTGAACTTCTGACCAGAAGTTATATGAATTTTTGAAGGTTTCTGTGTTTGGAATACTTGTTTTTTCTAAGGAACCATGACTTTTGAGGATGCACCGAGAGCCCTACAGTAACCAAAATATTGTTCTACCCGTTGGAAATGCATCTTCGTCCAAATAAACCTAATGATTATGATCGAAAAAGTGCACCGAAAGTGAAAGATGGGCGATCTGACTGATCGCTCTTGGCGAAAATTTATTTTTTTCTGGTTTCCAGAAAATAAAATTGTTTTCAAAATTCTGTTTTATAACTTTTGAGCTTTCATATTGGTTTCCTAGAATAGGTTTTTTTAGGATATGGATAAGGGCAAAATATGGGTCAAATTAGAATAGAAGTCACTGCTACACAAAGAAGTCAAAAGTCAGAAACGCAATTAGCAGGAGGCAGGTGATAATGAGCCTTTCATAGACCACATATGACCTCTTTCAGCAATTCCAAGAAGAAAAATATGAAATTGGAAAACACTGACGAAATCAAACAAAATTGAAGCGAGAAATGTTTTGATTTAAAGTATCGATCCTTTGAGTTTTCTGACTATTCTCATCTATTGAAATGGGTAATTATTCGCCCTCTGAATTCGTCACGCTGATAGCTCTTGTGATAATTGATGTTATTCAAGAAAAATGACGAGTATACGGTTTGGAGAAATTCTTATCTGATTGTAGACATTTGTGAAGACTACATAGAAAATCTATTCTGGGGAAGTTTCTAGAAGAAATTTGATGCTGTGACGTCGAGAACTACTGATAAGCTCATTACCAGGTACGCAGAAAAAAACGGAAAGAGTTCATGAATCAGTGTAGCTTATTAAGTTTCAGAAGGCGTCGTCGTCATCGAAACACCCACAGATACTATAGGGAGAATATAGAAAAAACGAGGAGAAAAAGAAAACAGAGTAGCGGAAAAGCGACTGCTCGAGGAGAAAGTGAAGGTAAAATCATAACGGGTCACCATGGAAACTCTCCAACACTCGCTTTTCATCTGAAGACGTGGCGGTTGATAACAAGCCGCCACGTCTTCAAGCATGGGAAAGAAGTTTTGCTCAAAAGATCAGGAGGAATTAAAGTAGTTTGATAATTCATGTAGGGAGCTGGTTGTGTGGGAAAAAAGGGTTTCCGTGTGTTTTGAGGTGATCAAAGATGGACTAATTGGGGAGGATGTGCAATTGACAGATATTATTTCTCAACATGTGATGCCAAAGTTTAAAATAAGAAAAAAGAAGGAAGATGACAAAGTTTTGATGAATCATTTGGACTCAGAATAAGAAGTAATGGTTGGTGGATCACGAGGTAGATCTTGTGATTTTAAAATTCATTCAACTGGAACCTTAAGTTCAAAATCAAAGCAGCTGAAAAAATTGGGTGAAGAGAAAGAGGGACATTTTTTTGGTAAAAGGTCAAATAGTGCAATAGTCATAGATTACTGAACAGACTCATAGGAAATCAAGGGAATACAAAATACAGGATCAGGATGGTGTACTTCCTGTTTGAGTAGTAGCCGTTCAAGAAACGGATAATTTTCGTCTAAAGTTTTTGTCAATTTTTTCTTTTTACTTTATTGGAGACCTTGGTTTTATATTTGAGAGTTAAAAGTCACAGTCGACTTTGGGATACCGTGAACACTCTAATAGAGCGAATCCTTAGTTTTTAACTTTAATTCAATTTGTCTTGAATTAAGGTGGACAGTTGAGGCGGGGGGGGGGGGGGGGTTTAAAGTTAACAGTACCTGGACAAAAAAAAGACAAAGAGAGAATATTCTATGCAATCAGTATTTTTTTTGAGTAAAAAATATTCACTTCATATATTTAGAAATACTGTTTCATCGCATGATTCTCTATAAAAATCGACAGAAATCATTTTAAGCGAACTGAATGAGGGAGAAGACGTGCCAAACAACGACTGCTCATTCAGGAAGCTTGATATGATATTGGGTGTTTTTTTGGACTTTTTGTTTGCCTTTGGGGAAACCTAGAGTGTATGTGAGGAAAATAATTAGAAGAGAAATTGAAAAAGTTTGGTTTTCGACAGGAGACGAAGGAAAAGTTCATTCTGTTTGGGTTTTTAGGTGGGGCAAAAAGTTAAAGAATGGATTTTTATTTTGGGAGAACATGGAGAAATTGTTTGGAATTAGCAACAAATTAGTCAACTTGCACTCTTTGAAAACAATGAAGCTTGATAAAAGAAAGAATGGAAACCCAACCTTTCCATACATCAAAGATTACCTATCTTTGCGATGCCGTGTCGTTGTCAGGATCATACAAAATATAATCTGAATTGTAGATAATTCTAGTCAGAATGATAATCAGACAAATTTTAGCCGCCAGAGAGAAAAGGTTCTGACGACAACGGCGACGTTGAGCATAACATGTTCTTTCCAACTCTTTTTTTCCGAGCAACGGGAAAAATGGGTAACAACAAGCAGGCGGAAAATAAGATGTATGCGAGAAATAAATCTGGGAAATTGGAGGAGTGGAGGGGAAAAATATTACTTGAATTGAAATTTATAAAGATCTGATTAAAGTACGAAAATTTCCCGTTTTAGGTCACCAAGTGATCCAAGGCTTGAAAAATAACTAATTGGAAAAAAATGAGTAGTTACCGTAAACTCTGTAATTGAAGGACAAACTAAACGAATTTTGAGCTCAATTATCTCAATGTCTATGAGAGATATCAACAATGTATCAACTGATAAAATATTGGTGATATTATGAAAAGAATTTTATCAGTTGACAATTTTGTGATATCTTTGACAGGAAATGAGATAATAAAATGTAAGCTCAGGTTGGAGGTTTCCTAGTGGAGAATTAACGGGTTCTTTAAAGGGAGTTCTATTCTGAAATTGTGATGTATGGACGTTTCCTCGTAGCTAGTTCAAGCTAAATACTCAAAATCTTTAAAAATATTTATTCAACAAGATTATTCAATTTTCAAAAAATCAGAATAGTGTTCCAGATTGTAATCGTGAATATCGATAATGTCTTCCATGATAGCAACCATTTTTCTCATTACATCCTTCCGTGCTTCATCTTTCTCTTCCTCTGATATTTTGGCATTATCAATGAATGAATAAATATCCGGAATGAGCAACATAGCCATCATTGGAGCATACAAGTTGTAGCATTCTTGAAGCTGAAAAATTAAATAATTTTAGATTAATTGAATATTACACAAGAATCACCTCATGGAGCGAGAACAATTCTTCGCCATAAACACTGGTGAAGGTGTCGTAGTAGCACTTCAAAATCTCTGAACCTCGTTCACGACGGTCCTGAGAAAAATTTCGGTTTAAAAAATGCAAGTTTTATTTTTGAACTAACCGTTTCCGAAAGACATCCCAACAATAGTCTCGAGAGGTCCAATCCAGGAGGCAATCTAGAGACTGCTTGCCAGTCAATCATTGCTTCCAACTTCAGTTTTCCTTCCTTATTCGCACTGTAGATCACATTGGATTGCCATAAATCTCCATGATTCAAAACTAGCTTGAATCCCAAAGTCTTTGAAATATCAGTATATTTGGGAACCACTGCCTTGTAGTGTTCAAACGCAGAAATCAATTCCTCTACTTTTTCGGGATGATGGTCACCGAATAATTTTCGAAGTCCATCAAACTTTTTTGTCAGTTCTGCGTCGTTGAAGAATTCTTTGAAAAAAATTTCCAGATAGTCTTGTCCCATCATATACTTGGTTTCTTCTGGGCTTAGAGATTCTGACAGAGCAGCGAATGTTGCAATTCCACGAACAAGAGGAAACAGATCATCGGCTGGAATGGAGCGGAACATTTCGATTTGATGAATATTGGAGATAAATTCAATGACCATGTATCCTTTCAAATCGTTCTCATCGTCAAACGACTTCAACGAGTACACCTAAAATATGAATATGTTTATTCCTGAATAACTGAATGCTCGCCTTGGTATACGGAATATCAGGATGATTAAACATCATGAGAATCTTGTAAACATCCACTTCTCTGTTGTGGCATTCTCTTGTTAATGCAGACAACTTTTTCAATTTTTCTACTCCAAAACCTTGTCCACCTTCGAAATTCATCATTTTGGTAAGCGCTACGAGAGCGAGTTGCGATGAGATCTGAAATATTATATGTCCAGCATAAGAAGCTTCTTTTTTTGAATAACCTTCAATGCAAACTTCTGGGGAAGTTCTTTTCCGTTTTCTACATTTTGCCAGTCTGGTTCCACCAAAGCAATCCGAGACATAAATCCCTAAAATTCGAAAAAAATTCTAGTCAATCTAAATAAATGAAAGCTCACCTTCAAATCACTGATATTGACCGCCTTCTTATTTGGCCCAAACGTTGCTTTGGTCCCAAGTTTCTCTTGTAGATCAGATTCGACATCTTCCCATGTCACATGGGTTTCCAGAATTCCGTCAGCGGGTTCATACAAGGACATTTTCGGTGGTGGAAATGGTTAGTTTTTCAGCACTCGACTGTTTTTTTATATGAGAGAAGAAGTCACAAACCACGCTCGAGGGAAAGTATGTCTTTAAGACAGATAAGAGGCACATTTTTATATTGTGTGTGTGGAAATGTTTTTTCTGTTCAGTATGAATTGCCGACAGTTGTGCAATTCATGAACTTCCATACACCGGAAAACCTGTAACAGAAGGGCCCCGCACAGTTCAGCTTGAGCTGATTTATCTTGGCTCCTATGAAAGATATCAAAATTGGGTTAACTAATAAAGTATTTTTGAAACTATGACGAAAAATTATAGTTGGCCATATGTTTATAATATTATCTTTGACAGGAACCAAGATAAATTGGCTCAAAGTTGAAAGTCATGGGCTCTTGTCAAGTCTACAAGTATACTGTATCAGGTTTGTGGCCTAAAATCACTGATAAGAGCTCACAAATCTTCTGTTTCCACCACCGACGAGACCAATGGTTAATCGTGTCTGACTGCATTATGTCCAACAACCGAATCGCTATCCCCAGCATTCTCAAGGCAAGGGTTCTCACAATGATCCATCGTGCTCACCCTGGAGTTGTGAGAATGAAACAATTGGAGAGATCCTTCGTATATTGGCCATCCATTGATAAGGACATCGAGAACATGTTCAGAAGTTGTGATCAGTATGCAGCAGTAGGTAAGGATCCAGTCAAGAATACTCTATGTTCTTGGCCAATTACAACCGCTCTATGGCAAAGGGCACATGCTGACTATGCTGGTCCACTGGATGGAACCCACTACTTTGTCGTGGTGGACTCATTCTCCAAATGGCCTGAAGTCGTCCCAACCACATCCATCACCACGACACCAATATTTTGAGAAAAAAGTTTGCGCAATTCGGATTTCCACAAAAGCTGGTTACTTACAACGAAACGCAGTTTACTTCGCTTGCGTTCGAAGAATTTTCGAATGAATCGAATCAAGCGTTCTCTATCACCGTCATTCCATCCACAATCAAATGGTCAAGCAGAACGTTTCGTGGACGCACTCAAGGCGCTTAGGCAGGTTAAAAGGGGAGGAAAACGTAGATGCTGCCTTACATATGTTTCTGCAGAGCTACCGCTCAACTCATTGCTCATCCAGCCCAAATGGCTCTACGCCCAGGTTTTACGGATATGGTTGGTTTTTGTTCTTTAAAACTCAATATATAATACTTGTATGCATTTATTCTTATCGATAAAGACTAAAAATTAGATAAAATGTTTTCTTTTCTGAATCATTCAGATCTTCATGAATTCTGGCCAACGTTGCATGTTGTAGTCGTGGATGTCGAGAATATCATCCATCGTAGCAACCACTTTCTTGTATGCAACTTTTCTAGCTTCCTCTTTCTCTTCCTCTGATATTTTGGCACTATCAATGAACGAATCGATATCGGGAAGAAGCAATATAGCCATCATCGGAGCGTACATGTAGTAGTAATCTTGGAGCTGCAAATTAAAACTTGATTCTCTTTTTTTTCTATGAATCTTGTACCTCTTGGAATGAGAACAGTTCTTTACCGTAGACTTTTGTGAACGTTTCATGATAACATTCCAGAATATCTGATCCTCTGTTTCGCCGATCCTGAAATCAAGTTCAAAAATGATAAAATTTTAAAACAAACTCACTTCAACTGAAAGACACCCCAACAATAGTCTTGACAAGTCCAAACCAGGAGACGCTCTGCATACTGCTTGCCAATCAATTATTGCTTCCAATTTCAAACTTCCATCCTTATTCAAGCTGTGAATCACGTTTGATTGCCACAAATCTCCATGATTCAACACTGCTTTAAATCCCAACAACTCCGAAATTCTAGTATACTTCTTCACTAACGATAAGTAGTGGTAAAAAGTTGTAATCAATTTCTCCGTTTTTTTAGGGTCTCCACCAAATTTCTTTCGAAAACCTTCGAACTTTTTGGTTAGTTCAGTCTCATTCATAAATTGCTCATAAACCATCTCCAAGTAGTCAGGTCCCATAGCAAAAGAGGTTTCTTCCGGAGAAAGAGTCTCTGCCAATGCTGCAAATGTAGCGATCCCACGAACAAGTGCGATTAAATCGTCAGCTTTGATCGGTTGAAACATCAATAAGGAATGGATGTTCGAAACGAATTCAATGGCCATGTATCCTTTTAGATGATTTTCATCTTCGAACGATTTCAAGGAATATACCTGATAATAAACAAAATATGGAAAGATTTGGCAACTAATCAGCATACCTTTGTATATGGAATGTTGGGATGATTGAACTTCTGGAGGAGCTGGTACGCCTTAACTTCCCTATTATGGCACTCTCTTGTCATTTTCGACAAATGCTTCAATTTCTCCTCTGTAAAACCTTCTCCTCCCTCAAAGTTCATGATTTTTGAGACTACAACAAGAGCCAGTTGAGATGAGATCTAAAAAGATCAAATGGCAAATATTAATTACTGAAAAAAAACATACTTTCAGAGCAAATTTGTCTGGTAGCTCTTTCCCTTCTTCAACGTTTTGCCAATCTGGTTCAACAAGTGCAATTCGGGACATGAACCCCTGAAAGTATTCCGTAAATTTTCAATTCCAACTATCCTCACCTTCATGTCACTGATATTGGTAGCTTTCTTGTTTTCTCCAAAAGTGGCATTGGTTCCAAGTTTCTGTTTTAGATCAGATTCGATATCTTCCCATGTTACATGGGTTTCGAGAATACCATCAGAAGTTTCATAAAGCGACATCTTGAACACCAAGAAGTTATATTCAAACTTTCAACCCTTGATTTTATACTCTTCACCATCACAAACCCCGTAGAAAAATGTGTGTCTGCGTATCCGATAAGGCACTTTTCTGGTTCAACGCCTGGCGGCTGATGTATGTGTTTTCAGTTGTGTTTATAATCGTTTCATCAGTTGCAAAGTTCATCTTTTGTATGGTAGGTGCTGAAACTTTTTTCTTCAAGTTTCACTTGAAGTGTTCCAATTGAAAATTTTATACTGTTTGTAAGTCCTGGTTTGAGAAAAAAACACACCGGAAACTAATACAAAACCTTCCAAACGGTCAACTTTGAGTCTAAATATCTCGATACTTGTGAAAGATATCAAAAAGTAATTAACTGACCAAATATTTTTGACAATATGATAAACAAAAAGTTGTCAACAAACAAAATATCTTTCTCAGCAACCGAGATAAATTGGCGCAAAATCAAAAATAGTCATGGCGTTCTATTAGGGTGATTACGGTAATTCTGGTCAGAATGATAATGGGACCACATTTATTAACGTTCGGGTCATTGTTTGAAACAAAATCTACAATTATAAACTCCTTCAAATCGTCGTCGTCGTAAAAATTGCTGGAACCGAAACACCAGAAAAAAAAATCTAGAATCTTGGAATATCCGGATGATTGAATGTCGGTGATAGTTCAAATGTCTTCTTTATGATAGTGAAGCAGATGACACCGTTACTAACAGGTTGATTTATGTCTAATATCAATATTAAAAATACATCTTCAAACTCAACAAATCAACAAAAAGCATGTTATTCAAAATTTAAAAAAATCCAAAGAGATGCTTTGAATTGTAATTTTTAGCATCAAATCTCGGTCATGGCCTAAAAAAATCTAGGTTAAGACCTAAAAATCTGGGTCATGCCTAAAAAATCTAGGTCACGACCTAGAAAAAGCAGGTATTAACCTAAACAATCCAGAATTGTCGTGAAACCACCCGAACATTTCAAGATTCTCCTGATATTATTCTACAGCCTGAATTCGGGACCCTTCACGCCAGGCCTGTGCGGCAACAAAATTTTTCCGGCAATTCGGCAACTCGGCATTTGCCGAATACTTTTCGGCAACGTTCGGCAACTCGGCAATTGCCAAAAAAAAATTTCGACAATTTCGGCAACTTTCGGCTTTACAAAAAAAAATTTTAATAATTACAAAAATTGGCAACTCAAGACCACATTTTTTATGTAAACTATTTCTCTTTAGCAATAGAGGGTACTCCAATGGTTGAAAATATTTGTTCCGATTGTGAGTTTTGAAAATAGTGCGCTCAACTTGTTAGGCAACTCACGACACACGTTCCCTAGAGATTTGAGACAGATTGGATAATTTTTTTGATGAGTTGTGACTCATGATATCTATTTTTCTTCTATGCTCACAAAAAATGAAGCTCATTTTTAGATCCGATGCAAGTATTTTTGATCATTATTGGGACACATTTCCTCTAAAATTCACTCTGAGGGATGATGGTATTCAAAATTTGATTTTTCGAACTTCGAAATCATTTTTTTAACTAAAAAAATTGTGAAAATCTCTAAATTCCAAAAATTTCAGTTGCCGAAATTTCCGAAATTTTTTTGCCGATTTCGGCAACGGCAAATCGGCAACAAAAATTCGGCAATTTCGGCAATCGGCAATTTGTTGCCGCACAGGCCTGATATGATCTCAGATACGAGACATATCAGTTCCAACAAACAACCCTCTCTCCTGACCCTCCTGGCTCTCCTGGTCTTCTCCAGGCAGTTCACCCCCCTCCGGAAGATCCCAAAGGTCGACTTGGTGGATCGCCGTGGACTCATCTGGAACCGTTTCGATGAAACATCAGGTATAAAAGATGTTTCATTTGAGCGCTAATTTCAAAATATTCAAAATTTCTAGATAAGGTTTCAATTCGCGTTAGATTGATGGTCTTTGATAGTCAGCAATGGAGATAACAAATAGTGAGTAGGGCAATTCCTATATGTTTTGAAAGGGTTTGGAACTGTAGAATTTGGAAGTTGGGAAATTCCAGAACTGAAAAAATTATTAGGTTGGTGCATAAGTTTCTTCCGATTTTGAATGCTTAACTTTGAGAATTGATATCTGGTCAGTGGGATGGTTTTTCTTGGAGGATGTTTTTTTGTTGGATAGAGTATCTCATGGACTTGTTGTATACACTTTGCCTCATTTCTCTTTCTTGTCGTCCGCGAGCACGGCGCTGGCTTCCGTCCCTTACCGTTTACACTTTCAAAATTACATTTTGTTTTTATGCCTTTCTTGTTTGAAAAACCACGATATTCACAAGAAAATAAAAGAAATAAATGAATAAGGGCCTCCTACTGTCTCTACCATTAGACATTGGACTGATCGATGTGAAGCCAAAAATTTAGAATGGAAAGACGAAGATGGGTCCGAAAGTTGGACTTGAACCTATTGAAGAATACTTCTGAATCCAATTCGTTTCAAACCACTTGTGAAAGGTCAAAGACATTGTCCGTTAGTCAACTAAGTATTGTAATCGGATTTCTCTTGGCAGTGTCAATAATTTTGTCGCTTCCTACCAAATTTTTTGGAGGACTACGGTATGTGTTGCAGACATGAGCGGAATAAAAATTTTGAAAATCCGGAATAAGGAATAAGGAAGCAGGAATGAAATTTAAAAATCAGGAATAAGGAATAACAATTTTAAAATCCGGAATAAGGAATAAGGAATAAGGAATAGAAAAAACACCCGGAATAAGGAATAAGGAATAAGGAATAAGGAATTCCGCTCATGTCTGATGTGTTGCCATGAAGATATGAGCGTGATTCTCCTATCATTTCTTCGCAGGTTCAGTTGGGCAGGGATCTAATTACCGTAGATGAGAATTGGGTAAGTAACTTTATCAATGTGCGGAAGAGTCAGTTGATTGACGAAGAATAGCTACCTTCGGACGTTCCAAACCGAAATTTTTCGTGAAAAGGGAGGTGTTATGTGTTTGGAGGTCTTTCGAAGGAATGGTGACTGGGAACATTTAGATGAAAGTACCACTATAACTGCCGCCTTGTATAGTTCCTAATTAGAGAGATTGATTCAATACATTCGTTGATCTAGCCCCCTGCGCTTTGAGAAAAATTTGATCAAAAATTTTCCTGAAATCGGAAGAAACTTATGCACCAACCTAATAAAATTTCTAATATAAAAAAAAAACTTTCCAAAACTTTAAAAATAAATAAAGAACTTGAATTCAAAAATTTAGGAAGATCAGAAATTTCAAAAAATGTAACAACTTCAGAAAAATTAATTTTTTACATTTTTTGTGGAGCTAATCAAAATTCAAAACTCAGCGAATGTTTAAAATTTCATCTGTTCTGAAAAAATTCAAATTAGAAAAAAGTATTTACATTTCACACTTTTATTGAGCTCGGACACGCACCCAGATCATCCAATTGAGAGTGTTTTTATACCATGCGAAAAGGGCGGAGTTTAACATTACAAAAGCAATAAATGATAGAATGATAGAAAGCTTCAAAGCACTCAATCATATTAAAAACGGGGTGGGTCCCCCTGACAAAGAGTGCGATCCTGGAATCCTGAAACTTTAAGCTGAATGAAATCTAAATTTGAGGAACTTTTTAAAAAAAAACCAGAATCCAAAAACCCAAAATTCGAAATGTCGAAATTCAAAAACTATAAAGATCCAAAATTAGAAGATTCTAGAACTTTTTTTCCAGATTCCTCCACATTCATCACTACACTTTGCCTTTATGGAGGTGTCTCACATTTGCCTCTCCAGACACGGTGAGATAATGTTTTGAAGATTACAGTTATAATGTATCTTATTTAGACTGTTTTGAGTGAGTCTGTTGTGAAGCTTGTTGATGTCAAACATTGGCTGGCGCGGTTCCACGTCCTAACGATCGGAGTTTCGAAGCCAGAAGTTGTCACTGACACCACTAACGAGGGTGAGTTGCATAAATCTACTGATAGAAAACATTATTTCGATTATTTTCCAGGAACTGTTCGGCGTCTTTTTGATCTGAAGAAGTTTTGAAGATATCGATGAGTTAGCTTCTAAGCTCAAAGTTAGTCAGAGTCTCTGGAGAAGGATCGAGGTCGCATGGAACATTTACCCTTTTTGATGCATGGAATGTGTTTGGACAGGTTAGTTTATCTTTTTCTTTCGCCGAGTCTGTTCAAGTAGTTCATTGGGGGCACAATAGACTTCGCTGTTACAGAAGGATTAAAAGAGCAAGGGGGTGTCGTAGTATTCTCGTCATTTCTGATGCCAATTTTCTGAGTTTTTAGGGAATATTATGAAAACAAATAATGTTCTGCACCACTAGCTTTTTCTCTCAATCTTGTCATAATATATAGATTAAGACACAGTTTAATTTTCCTTAGTTGGAGATTCATTACTGACGAAAGTAGTTACCGCGTGCTCCTTTCATCTGGGATTCGGAAGAATTCCAGATGGCTGAGGGTTACCATGGCTACGTCGGTAGTGGGTCTTCAAACCATTAGGTTTCTACTCTCTAGTCTTGTCACACTGACCAGATTAAGACCTTGTTCAAGTTTCTCTAGTTGGAGATTCATTCCTGACGGAAGTAGTCACCGCGTGCTCCTTTCATCTGGGATTCGGAAGAATTCCAGATGGCTGAGGGTTACCATGGCTACGTCGGTAGTGGGTCTTCAAACCATTAGGTCTCTAGTCTCTAGTCTTGTCACACTGACCAGATCAAGACCCTGTTCAAGTTTCTCTAGTTGGAGATTCATTACTGAGGGTACAAATTTGCGTTTTTTTTTGTTGGAAATAGTCAAAATAGTCTCAAAACAGCCTACTTTAAAAGTTCAGACAAAAATTGATATCTCTCATCAAGTTTTAGAAAAAATTATTTTCGGACATTTTCAGCATTTTTTGAGGTTTTGGAATAAACTTTGCTCCTGGGTAAACTTTTGAGCTGAAACTTATAGAAAATAATGCTGCAGTGGTCTGAATTGTCTACTGACGGCTGCTATGCTGTTTTGAGCTGTTTTTGTAATTTAAGATGGATTGAAATTTCCAAAATTGACCTTGAAGTTCGGTGTTTCTGATTTTTGTCGAAAATCTAGATTTTACTTTCTCAATTTATTGTTCTGTACAGATGATCAATTTTGATAGCGATTTTAATCACTCAGAGCACCTTTCGAACATTTTAGACAGTTTTGAACATTTTCCAATTGGGCATATTGTGCAATTGGGCATATCAGTACAAAACTCGAGCTTAATTTCGAGCTACCATAGCTCAAAAGTGCCTTGAACACCCGTAAAACACGATCATGATTATTTGAAACATATTTCAACTGATTTCAGCTCAAAAGTTTACCCAGGAGCAAAGTTATCCGCGATTTATTCCAAAACCTCAAAAAATGCTGAAAATGTCCGAAAATAATTTTTTCTAAAACTTGATGAGAGATATCAATTTTTGTCTGAACTTTTAAAGTAGGCTGTTTTGAGACTATTTTGACTATTTCCAACAAAAAAAAACGCAAATTTGTACCCTAAAATACTTGTGATTTTTCATTTTTCGGGGTGGTCCTATCCTTATTGAACGGCTGCAAAAGTGACATTTGGGTATAACTCGAGTACAGAAAGTGCAAGAGACATGAAAATTTGTTCCCGGAGGTTATTTTGTATTCTAAATCGAATGGCGTTTACAGATTTTTCATATCATTTCTACTTTTTCCGGAACCCTCAAAATCGAGGGGGGTCCTATCCTTATTGAACGCACTGTATTTCAGGTTTACGGTAATCTTATTTTAACAATCAACCTTAGTTGAGTTTCTTCATCTCTAGCCATGTTCATTTTTGTTATTTGATGAAAAATGTTAAATTACAGTATCCACTCTACAAATTCGCTCTTCTTTCAACGTGTAAGAGAGAAGACTTAAAGGAGGCGAGACAGCAAAAATTTCGGGGGACGAAATCGCGCCGCGCTTATGTAGACCATCGGTCGTCAGGCGCTTTCGCGCCCCCGTAGCTCAGCCGGTAGCAGCGCTGTACCCCTATGCTGCCTGTCATGAGTTCAACCCCTCATGGGGGTTCTCTATGCAAAATATCAGGAAAACTTTTTTTTTGGTGTCTGGCCTCCTTTAAGAACGTCGTCAGATTCTGGCGGATGCGGACCACGCAGCGGTCCGCGTGCGTGCAATCAAAGAATTTTGATTTTGTGGGAGGGGATTCAGATGCGTTGTATTCAGATACTGTCGTCAACACTGCCTCGTTTTTGGTTTTCTTCTTTTTCCTTCCTTTTCTTCCACTGAACTCCCAGTCTTTTTGCAGCAAACATGGAAAGAAACGGAACAATAGCTTTCAGTGGTTTGCCGTTGGATGTCATCCGCAGCATCACAAAACGACTGGAGGGCCCATTTCAGAGGTACAGTAACCCGGGTTCAAACACAGAACTTGTATGTTTATTTTTGCAGAAAACCCCGCCGTCAAGTCTGTAGGACATTTAAGAATATTGCTGATGAGGAAAAACCTGTATACCCATGCATGGAAATTCATATTCAGAATTATATTTTAACATTCAAGACAACGGGGGAAAATCTTCGTTATGAAAAAATACACTATAATTTTGAGAATGAGAAAGATAGAGATTAGGGTTTCCATTTGGGCGGGTGAAGAAGCGGGCTAGCCGCTACCCGCCCGGGGGGCTCCCACCCGCGGCCCCCCGCGGCCCCTCGCAATTAAATGCGTGTGAATTTCAATAACATTTTTAAGGATAATCACGTATTTTCCAAGAAAAACTGAGTTTCTCAAATCAAAAAACTACAAAAAAGATAATATTTTCCTCACGTAAATATTCGCGGGGGGTCAACGGGGGGCCGCGGGGGGTGAGCCCCCCGGGTGGGTGCGGGCGGGTGAATCGCCCCCCAATGGAAACCCTAATAGAGATGGGCTCTTCTCAATTAGTTTAAATTCTCAGAGTGTCTAGAGTAGAAATTGGATCACTATCATTGGCAATATTTCGTTCCGATCCAGACGCACTTGATGACGTCCTGCCAGATTCATTGAATGTCGAAAAGTTGTCATAAAATGTGATCACTCTGAAAAAGCTCTCAATTTTTTGAGTTTTCTGAATCTCGGTAGATTGGAATCTTGGTTTTGAACACTGATTTCTTTGAAGACCAGGGCAGAGATATTCTAGAAATGGAACAGTTCAAAAGAGTGAAACATGTTGACATCCGGGGACTCCTCAATCCGGAGAAAATTGAGCATTTCAAACACCTGAAGAGTTTTGAAGTTTTCGTCGAGGACTTCGAAGCGAGCATGATCACTGGAATTCGAAATGTAAGCTTTAAAAAATGTTAGAAATTAATGTGTATTTCTAATTCTCATTTTCAGAAACTGTGCAACTTCCAAGAACTCCAATACTGCATCATCCAGTTGGATGAGAAGGGGTCTTCAGTGAAATCGGTAGTGTTCTTGGCATGGATGTTCCAGAAGGATCTACGGAATCATCCACATATCGATATCGGATTTCAAGGAGCATGAATGTTCTGGAGTTAAAAGTGGCATTGCTAGATATTCGCATTAAGAATGTTCTGGAATGATTTCGTAGTTTTTTTCCCTTTAATGTTTTCGCATTGTCTCAGTATCTTTACCATTCTTATTACTCTTCCAATAAATGTGTTCAAAGCTTGAAAAACGACCTGAATTTTCAAAAAGAAGCATCTCATGCATCAAATACAAGAACCTCAAAAAAAACGAAATATATTATTTTGATAAATTCAAACAAAATGTTCAATTCTGTAAAAAACGAACTTTCTAGCTCAACTAAAAATCGAGATACGGTCATTTGAAAATTGCCGTGGTTAGAGGCGCAGTGTGTCTCGTCGTCTGCGTCTCTAGCCTCCGAAACTACAAAAGGCTCTATCTCGGTTTCTAGAAGTGCTAGAAATGTGATCTCTGATAGAATCTCATGAAGAATCTGGAATTATGATTGGAAACCTAATGTCTTTCAATAAAAACATGGAATTACAGAAAGCAGGCTAGAAATGCCACTTCCATAAAATATACCGTGCTTCCTCTGAAAGAAGCCCACCCAAACAGTCAACTCAACTTTGAGCTAAATTATCTCGGTTCATGTGAAAGATATGAGAAATTCGTCAACTGATAAAATGTTTGCGGTTTTATGATAAACAATTTATCAGTTGAAAAAACTTTGGTATCTTTCCCAGGAATCGAGATAATTGACCTCAAAGTTGACGGTTTGAGTGGTCTTCTATTAGAGTGTTATCGGTATTAAAAACTTCTAAGGTTTCAGTTGTTCGAAAAATATCATGAGAGCAATTTCTAGAATCGAAGTTCCATCTATCTTAATTTCTCAAAAGAATCTAATCCATCATCCCATCGAAAGCTATTAAGAACGTCTACAAAGATATAACGAATGGAAAGAGAGAAAAAAGAGGAAAAGTCGATTGACAGGTACAGAAGTAATTGTCGGATGAATAATATTTGTGTGTCATTTCACCTCGTTGTTCCTCCTATTTCAACACGAAACGAAGCGGAAAGAGTAGGAGGAGAAAAAAGAGAAGGAGAAAACTAAAAATTTTGTTGCGAAATTCTTATTCCAAAAAAGGTGGTGGTGGTGTCCACGATACCTGTTGTGCTCTTTTTTGTCGTGAATACATAATTGGTCATTGAAAGGCAGGTGGCCGTTCAGTAATCGTTCCTATACCGGTTGACCTCTTCCATTTTCGGGTCATTTGACTCTTTTGAGAAACACAAATCGTTTCTTTTCAAAAAGAGACGAAGTTCATGTTTGGACAAGTGGCTTCTTGTCACCAGATGCCACAAAAATGTGACACTTTTTACGAATTTGATGTATATAAAATATTCGGCTCTATTCTGAATTCTAGGGCTTGTAACTAATTCGTCACATTTGACAGTCAATAGTGACTCTTCTTCTCGAAGAGCATACAAAAAAGCTATGATTCACCAGTTTTGATGATAAAATTGCAAATAGGTAAATAAACGGGTGTTGCTTGTACGGTTCGGAAGAGAGAGTTCCATACGTGGTTTTCTTTTTTTTTCACCTAATTTTCTGCACATTTTCGTTCGGTTGGTAATGCATACAAGAAGAAATCACTTTGCTGCAACACCTGATTCAACTAAATATGTGTACTGTGAAACTGGCTCGTCAACTCAGCTTCTAGGTTCCCATAAACTGAATAGTTACTTATGATTAGAGAGTACCAAAAGCTGTAGAGACCCAGACTCATCGTCATTCACTCACTCATTCATTCATTCTGAGTCGCCATAGCACACATCGGAGAAGGAATACCGGCTCTCGCAGCAAACAACACCGGTACCTTCCCTTTTTCTGAGCCTTTTCCTTATTCGGTACACAAACACAGACTCATCCCTCGCACCGTTTCCTCTCTCTGAACTCTCTGCAATTCATCAACTGTTTCCATTTCCCCAGGTTCTCTTTTTATGTTTTTTACGTTCGGAAAAATTCCTTTTTGTGATCTTCAAACCGCTTTGCTCCGGTTCTAGTTATATTTGCCTTCGACCTCTTCTTTTTGGGGTTCGAAACCCCTTGTCTATATTCGCCTATTTTTTCTGATTCCTAAACTGACTCGATTCTTTTTATGTTAGTAAATAAATCACAAATACGACCATTACCCCGTTTTTATTACATCGTTCTTGATGCCTTCATCTTTTTGTAGACGTTAACCCCGATTAAAACTTTTATCTTTATATCCTTTTTTCTGATTCTCAAAACTGTCTCAAAATTTTTGCGCAATTATTATGTCCAGGATAAAAAACTTTCCGCCACTTGTCATCCGTGTTTATTTTGCCATCGACAGTGGTTTTGGGCTGTGATGTCAGTGATTGATCACCAGTTCCAGTCGTTTTTGCCATGCTTTCTTTATCTTTCCTTCAGAATGATGCCTTTTTAGCAGATATTGATGATTTTTATTCCGAAAAATGACTTTCGAAAATCTGTTTGTCGCAACTTTCGAAAAAAAATTTACAGTAACCTCTTTTCGTGGTGGGACGCACTAAAACTATGATCCTTTAATATCGCATGTTCCGTACAATTGTTTTTTGCAAAATTCGTGTACTTTTTTGAGTCTCTTTACTGGTTTTTATTTATTAGCTGCGGGAAATTAAGTTTTTCTTAAATATCTATAGCTCCTACTAAATATAAACTAGAAAATTCTGGTAAAAAGTATAAAAATGCAAAATAAAAAACTACAGTAATCTGCTTTCGTGGTAGGACTCAGTGAATATTACAATAGCATGCGCCTTTAATGTCAACTGTTTTTGAATGTTTTCCAATTTGCATCATTTTTTTCATAATTACTTTTAAAAATCAGTTTTAGCCTAAGAATCTCCTGCTAAACTTCAAAAGCGGACTTTTTTCTTGCGATCGACTAATTATATGGTTCTCTTCTGCTCTAAAAACGGCTTTAGTCAAGAAAACATCTCTCGTTCCACTTTACATCGTCCAACCAATTTTCCGTTTTCGGGGGGCGCCATTATATATGATGACCGTCAAATAGCTCGACATCAAATGTCGGAAGCACTGAAAGTGAAGAGACTCAGTAGCGCTTAGGCAAATGTTCGATTTTAATCTTCTTCCATCACAACAGCAGCGTTTAGTAGTTTACCGTCCCAATTTTCGCTTTTTGAATTCAAATCTCCTCCGTATTTTCGCTTTTCTCTTTCTGGTTCTGATTTTGCCCCGGCTTGAATCGAGAATTAAAGAAATCCTTCTCTTTCATAGAATATCTGTTTTCTTAATGAGGTGTTCTTTTATAAATTAATGAGGTGTTCTCTTATAAACGCAACCAAAAATTTCCCTAAGTTCATTTATATATTTTTTTCAGTGAAGAGGGGGAAACAAAGTGGTAAATACAGGTTTATTAGCCAATACTTATCTCCGACAGCTTCTTTCTTTTTTTCTCTTTTTCTTTTTTATTAATCATCTTCTTCTCCTACAAGTTTCACTTGTTTCCACTTTGTCACCTTTTCTCCCTTCCGACAGCCGTCTGCAGATCTGCTCAGGCGATAAATCGTTTGAAGGGCGCCGATTTCGAGTTTAGAAAAAGGCGCCACACACTTTTTTTCTGAATTTCCCACCAAAAATTTTTTTAGCAAGATTCGTAAACTTCTGCGAATTACAATTTGCTTGTTTAAATACTACATAATTCTTCTGATTTTTTTAATCTCAGTGCCATAAACAATAGTTCGGAAACTAGTCTTCTCCTTTTAGTCGTTGACGACACATAAAATAGTCTAAAAGGGTGATAAATCACAAGTTTCCAAATGTGACACTGTCCTCGAAGGAATTGAAAAAAGAACAAGCTTTTCCTCATGTCTCTGAGACAGTGAGAGGTGAAGGAACACTAGCCGTTAAGTGTCCTTGACAAGTTGCACATGCTTTTCAAGAGAATGGCCCCCCACTACACTTCGGCTAATCCTACACCTCCATTTGTTTTTCATAAACGTTGAGTGGTGGTGAGGAAGGAGATGGATATTGAGGAATGCATATTTCGGCACCCACCCAGGGGATAATAAATTTTTATGAGGCGCCAAATCGAAGAAGAAACCGCAAGCATCCTCGGAGACTCTATACGTCGAGAAAAGTTCTCTGTAGATGAAAATGTTTCATAGCCGGCAAATGTTTATTTTTGCGTTTGCGAACCTGATAACCGGAAAAGCAGGGCGAGAGAAGGGACAAGAAGACAAATACAGCTTGAGATCGTGATATGCACATGTAAATATTTCACGTCGTTTTTTGAATGTATCAACAGCCACTTCCGAGTTTCACCCCCATCGTATCATCCTTCTCGTTGTCTTCTTACCACTCGTGTTTCATATTATTTCTTAATTTTGCTTTTTTTTTCAGATCTGACACGAAAAGGATCGAGATCACAATCAAAGAGTGAGAGAGTTTGAAGCAATGGACGGAGGTGCCACTCTAGGCAGAGGCCATGTTTTCCCTGTCCAGAATTATAAGGTTATTATTTAAAATATTTTTTGAATAGTTGATATGATTTTGATATACCAAAAAATCGGAACTATGGCTGTCGTCGAAGGTCCCACAACGACAACTACAGTAACCTAAAATTTTTTACTTTCAGTTGTTTTTTCCTCGAATTTCATGCAATTTCAGTTACCAAAGTTTCTTATTTTGGGACTTTCCTCGAGAAAAATAACAGAAAATTCGTCAAAAAGCAGTAAAAACGAAAAAATAAATCTGGGAGGGTCCCACATCGACATCTACCGCAACCTAGAATTATTATCATTTTCCGGTTTCTTTTTTCTCATTTTTCGTATATTTTTTTCGATCTTTCCGGTTTTTTCCTCAAACAGGTCAGAAAATAAAAGACTTATGGTAGTGGAAGGATTTGACTGAAAACGCACGAAAGTCATAGAAAATCAATCCTGAAAAGGAAAATATTTTAGGTTACGGTAGTTGTCGTTGTGTGACTCTTCCACAGCTTCTATTTTTTGAACCAGAATAATTTTGAAAGTCATGTCCAATTGACATTTTACAGAAAGGAGCACGAATCTGGCACAGACATCCGCACCTTGTATGGATTGGTGGAGTTCTGGAAGAGGATATCAGTTTTCAAACCAGACAAGTCAGAGTACGACTGGAAGATGATACGGCAAGACTATTTTTCAAGAGTGTTGTTTAGTTTCCCCTCAATAATTTCAGACGGCTGAATACGACATAACTTCGTTGGAACAGCTCCCATTTCTTCGAAATCCCGCATTTCTCGTTGGCAAAGATGATCTTACACTTCTATCATATCTCCATGAGCCAGCAGTATTACACAATCTACAAGTGCGATTCGTGAACAGTAATTCAATATACACATATTGCGGAATCGTGCTCGTCGCGATCAATCCATATGCAGACTGCTCACACATATACAGAGAAGAAATCATTCAAGTTTATCAGGGAGCTGGAAAATCGGCTCGAGAAATGGATCCCCACATTTTTGCGGTGGCAGAAGAAGCTCATTTTGATATGGGAGCTTTTGGAAAATCACAATCTATCATTGTTAGCGGAGAATCTGGAGCTGGAAAGACTGTTTCTGCGAAGTTCGTCATGAGATATCTGGCATCGGTAGCAGCAAGTAGGACGAGAAGTGAAGGAACAACGTCGATTGAAGCTCGAGTTCTGGCCAGTAATCCAATCATGGAATCCATCGGAAACGCTAAAACTATCAGGTTAGGATCAGATTCATTAGAAATAAGATTAATTCAATTGTTTCCATTTTTCAGAAACGATAACTCGTCTCGGTTCGGAAAATTCATACAAATCAATTTCTGTGAACGCGGTCGACGAATCATTGGTGCTGAAATGAAGACGTATCTCCTCGAGAAGAGTCGACTCGTGTTTCAAGCTCCCGGAGAGCGAAACTATCACATTTTCTATCAACTTTGCGCTGCCCGGAATCATCCAGCGCTCAAAGATCTTCATTTGGGACCGTGTGAATCTTATTCATATCTCACCCAAGGAGGAGATAGTCGAATTCCTGGTGTTGACGATAAATCAGACTTCGGAGAGCTGTTAAAAGCACTTCAGTTGCTTGGATTTGATAATAAGCAAATCAGTGATGTATTCCGAGTACTTGCTGGTCTTCTTCTCCTTGGAAATGTTCATTTCGAAAACGGAGAGGCATCTTCTGCAGTTTCGCCTGGAAGCGCTCAAGAGATTGCTCGATTATGCAGTGAGATGTGGGAAATCAATGAATCAGATTTACGGGTGTGGCTGACAAGAAGGGAGATTCGGGCTGTGAACGAAGTTGTGACGAAACCATTAACTAAAAATGAAGCTGTTCGATCAAGAGATGCACTTACAAAAATGTTGTATGCTCATTTATTCGGTTGGCTGGTGGACAAGATCAATGAAGCACTGAATGAAAAAGAAAAGTCTGATGGTGTGAACCGAAGGAAACGGCCAGATCGATTTATTGGTGTTCTTGACATTTATGGATTCGAGACTTTTGAAATCAACTCATTCGAACAGTTCTCTATCAACTATGCCAATGAGAAACTTCAACAGCAATTCAATCAACACGTTTTCAAGTTGGAACAAGAAGAATATGTTCGCGAAGAAATCGAATGGGTTCGTGTCGACTTTCATGATAATCAACCGGCGATTGATCTTATCGAGGGACCTGTCGGAATGATCAATTTATTGGATGAGCAATGTAAACGTTTGAATGGATCTGATGCGGATTGGCTGAGTCAGTTGAGAAACAGTACAGACTTGAAAAGGAATCCACAATTAGCCTTCCCGAAAGTTCTGAGCAAAGACTTCATCGTTCGACACTTTGCTGCTGATGTCACTTATAACACTGAAGGTTTCGTCGAGAAGAACAGAGATGCCATCGGAGAACAGCTTCTAGATGTCGTGGTTGCCAGTCGATTCCAATTCATTCGTACAGTTATCGGGCCTGCTGTTGTAGCAATTCCAGCTAATTCAACTCCTGGAAGAAAGACCACAAAGAAAACAGTAGCCAGTCAGTTCCGTGATTCCTTAAAAGAACTCATGCAAGTGCTATGCTCGACGAGACCTCACTATGTGCGATGTATCAAGCCGAACGACAGTAAGATCAGTTTCGATTTTGAACCTAAACGCGCCATACAACAACTTCGTGCATGTGGTGTCCTTGAAACAGTTCGTATTTCTGCTGCTGGATTCCCTTCCAGATATCCATATGATGAATTCGCAAGAAGATATCGTGTACTGTATACAAAACAGTCAGCACTTTGGAGAGACAAACCAAAACAATTCGCTGAGTTGGCTTGCCAACAATGTCTAGAAGAAGGAAAATACGCTCTTGGAAAGACAAAAATATTCTTGAGAACTGGCCAAGTTGCTGTACTCGAAAGAGTTCGTTTGGACACACTTGCCGCTGCTGCCATTGTTATTCAGAAGACGTGGAAAGGGTTTGTTGCGAGAAGAAAGTACGAGACTATGCGAAAATCACTGCTCATCGTTCAAGCTTCGCTGAAAGCGTTCCTCGCTTTCCGTCGGATCAAGTATCTCCAAATGCATCGAGCGGTTATTGTTATGCAATCAGCTGTTCGCGGATACATTGAACGTCGAAATTACGAAGCTATCCGAAATGCTGTAATTGGAATCCAAGCCGCTTTCAAAGCTCAAAGAGTCCGACGATATGTTGAGAAGGTAATTTGATATATATATATATATATATATATATATATATATATATATATATATATATTTTGTTTGATTTTGAAAATTAATTATTTATAGCTCTGCTATGAAAAGTCAGCAATCACAATTCAATCGGCTTGGCGCGGATATGCAGTACGACGTGAGCAGATTGCTAGAAGGAAGAAGGTGGTTATGGTTCAGTGCGCTGTCCGTAAATGGCTAGCCAAGCGTCGACTCCGAGAACTGAAGGTTAGTGTCGACTTGTGACCTTTTTTATCTCATCGCTGGTTGTGAAATTTTATCGTTGGTTTCTTTTTTTTGCAGATAGAAGCACGATCTGTTGGTCACCTTCAAAAGTTGAACACTGGTTTGGAGAACAAAATCATCGAGTTGCAGATGCGTTTGGATATTGCTGTAAGTGACTAGAAATAAGTTATCGTAAAACCTGTATTAGAAGAGCCCCCTAACTTTCAATTTTGAGCCGATCTTTCTCGAGTCTTGTCAAGGATATGAGGAAATTGTCAACTGATAAATTATTGATCATAACATCACGAATATTTTGTCAGTTGACACATTTTTGATATCATGCATAGAAGCCAAATTAGCTCAAACTTGACAGTGTGGGTGCCCTTCTTTTACAGGTTTTTGCGGTATTTTAAAAAAGCACACCGGAAAAAAAATAGGTGCCACTGTTTGCAATCACAATCAGCTTATGCAAAAATGCACCGTTGCCCGCCGGAAGAAAATAATGAGCAAACAACAAATGAAACATTTTGTGCTTTTATCTCAATTGAAAAGCTTGGTCAGAATTGTATGTGACAACAAAAAAAGTTTTGGTTGTATGTCCGTTGTGCCTAAAAACGGCAACATTCACTCTCTGAGCATGACCCTCCCTTTTACGATCTGTTTTATTTGCTCTTTTCGGAATATTTGATAGTTTCTTTTTGCAACTCTGTAGGCGGCCATGGCCAACTATCGTTTCTCGACTTTGCTAAACTTCTGTGATTAGTTCACCTGGTTCCATTTTCGAATTCTCTATATATTGGGATAATTTTGTTGTTTATTCTGAAAAGTCAATTGGCAACTCGAGTATTTTTGTGAATATTTAGTTGTGTGAACTCCCAATGGGACACTCTTCTTTTCGTCTTTCGCCGTCTTTTCACCCAGAAAGAAATTCGTATGTGAATATTTCTAACAACAGGGTAATGTCTTCAAAATGTCAAACCAGCAACACATATCTTGAAAATGTTCCTTGTTGCCAGTTGACCACCCCAGCTTATCCCATTAATCATCGGTTGTTTCCAACTGATTGCTGTCAACTATTTGTTTGTCACTGCAGAACCAACAACCAGAAAGAAGCAAGACGTTTTTCACCCGTTCTTCATTTTCGAGGTTTTAAAAAATTTAACAAGTCGGAACACAAGTTAATTCGAGAGTTTCAAACGTCAGTCTTTTCGCAAATAATATGTTCTCCTGTCTTCTTCTTCGCACTCTCAAAAACTCTCTCACTTGGCTCTTCTTGGCTCGTTATTGCTCATTTTTAGAACCCGAATAAGTTTCCAATGATATTATGTGTGAGAGAGATTTCTCTGCACTTGAAGTGCTCCATGATTCTTATATCCCTTACATGTCAAAAAGCGTGTTTGCAAACATTTCAATTTTCGGAACTCTAAAGTTGTGCATTCAGAACTTTGAATTTCAAAGACCTGTGAACCTGTTCTGATCTTACTGATCGCCTTTCTTCCACTCTGACGTATCTGTTTCTATCGTTTTCACGCGGGCGTTCAATTGTGAAGAGAAGCTCGAGCAGGTGGCCGGAAATCACAAAAAAACGGATATGCTGTAGAGGAGCAGGTTGGTAATCAGGCATCGCGCCCTCTGGGCACGAGATATGACAGTTTATTTGATCAAAAATTGGGTGAGAAAACGAGACAACGATAACCCAAGAGACACTGCTGCGTGTGTGGCCAATACAGTCTTTCATTTTTCCACAGTTTCCCACAGTTTTCGAACAGAATTTCGTTGCCCTCTTCTTCTCTCGATGAATCGTTCCTTTTTTTCCCCACGATGAATATTCCTCCCAAGGGGTCAATGGCGACAAGCTTTTGGGGCTCGTGTGAACGATCGTTTTTGCCTTCTTCATGTTCTTCGGGAGAAGATGTTTTCCCATGCTATAACATTATTGACCTCCAAAAACGAATTTACGGCGCCCAGAGGTGATAAATTATAGATAAGAAGGTGTTACTCTACTTTTTGCAAATAGTGGGATCTATGAGAAACTGCAGTCACTGCAGTGCAGTTCGAATAGGAAGTCAAAGTTTGAATAGTTCCTGTTTGATCATCATTCTTAACATCATCAGTGTTAGAAGAAGCTGTTAATTAGATAGTTGGTCGTTTTCTAATGTTCTTCATTGTTTGACTTCTTTTATTTCCCTTTTTTTTCTCGAAATCCCGTTTTCCCATCATTGGCATACATCTCGTCCTCGTTTTTTTTATGGCTGAGAGACCTAACATGCCATTCAAGATAACTCCCTTACTTTTTTTGAGATTGATTGCCATGTGATTCTGAACATCCCCGTTAGCTCGTTCTTTTTTTTGGGAATTTTGCAGCCATCAAATGATTGCTATTGCGTTCAAATATAATTGTTTTCAATTGTCCAATTTGGGGAACTAGGTGATCCGAAGGCGTAGAGTAAACTTGTTCTCCTTGATTACATTTTAATTCGATCACCTGCGCCATTCACAATATCCTATCTGTGTTGCAGAACGCCCGAACCAAAGAAGAAACCGAGAAGCTGAATACAACGAGCAAGGATCTTGAGAAGACCAAGGCCGAATTGGCCATGATGGAAGCCGAGAGGTTCGTAACATTTTGCATTTAAAATTAGCATGTTAAGACTATTTTTTATACCAAAATCACAAAAATAGTCATGGATATTCGGAACGGAATTCTGAAATTAAGGAATTTTCAAATACTGAAGACCGTATTTCCACTAATAGAAGCCCAGTCAAACCGTCAAAATTCACCTCAATTATCTCGATTCCTGTAAAAGATATAACAAATCTGTCATCTGATAAATTACTCTTCACAGTATAACCAATAATTTATCAATTGACAGATTTTTAATTTCTTTCGCAACAACCAAGATAAGTGAGCTTACATTAGTCTGTTTGAGTTGGTTTCTATTAGAGGAAACATTCATCAAAATTCGAATATTCTGAAATTTTGAAACATAATTTTCGACCTTAAAAAAACAATTGAACGATATTTTGAGGTTTAGTCATCAGACCTTCAGATAAAACGCTATAATTTTGATAGAACAGTTTAGGAACCATAAATGTTCCGAAAAATTATCATGTAGTAAATTACAGACTCACTCTTCTGGAGGCACGCCATCGCGTCGAAGTTCTCCAAGAAGAAGTGGAACGATTAGAGACAGAATGTGACCTCAAAGAAGCTCAACGTGGTGGTATGGAGACTAAAATGGTCGATCTCCAGAGCCGTCTTGAACAGGTAAGATATTCACCGTGAGAGTTAAGAAATCCCCTTTTCTGGATCAACCCTTGTTGAAAAAAGAAAAAAAGAGGAACAAAAGGAGAGGTCCCACTCCGGTCATAAACCGGGTCCCATAATGTGCCACTTTCTCATTAGACGGATTCAGGAGAAAGCGGGTCGGTGTTTGTGCCCCAAGACACCATCTCACAAGGTTTCTTTTCTGAATGTTTTCTTGTGACCGAGTCGTTGTACTCGTATCAGCTTCCTTTGCGCAAGCAACGAGTAAATACATAAATGATGAGCACCACCACGGCTGGGATTAGATGCCACAAACACAATGGTCTTTCCCCTCAAAACCATCAATTTTTCATGTTGTTTCTTTCTTCGCATTTTCTAAGTTACTCTAAAAGAATAAACTATTTTTTAATCGAAAACTTCACATTTGGTCAGGAATCTAGTTTTTATTCTTCTTTCTTGGAGCTTCAGCGTATTTGAGGCATTCCAGCTGTGAGAATGGTCGCTGAAAAACAATTTTTGCGTCTCTTCTCCTATTTTCTCATTCTAGTTTAATTGCCAGCCATCATGATACCAGCCAGCCAACCATTAGGAATTTTTGTTCCCCACAACCATCCATATTTTTTCTATACACGTTTCGAAACGTTTTCCGAATTTCCAGATGCAATCCGAATCCGGACAAACCATTGCCGAGCTCACGGAGCAGCTTGAGAAATCGAAATCCGATCGAAGTGGCTGGGATTTGGAACGGCAGAAGATGGAAGCTGAATTGAACACGGAACGAGCTGCTAGGCACGCCTTGGATGCGGAAGTTGTTGCAATGCGAGAGCAGTTGATGAAGAATGTGGATCTTTTTGAATCCAGTACGTTCCAAAAGAAATCGAGCCCGAAGAAGACCCGAGAGGATGATGGTTAGTTGAAAATGTGTCCTCTTTCATTACTAAAAATCCGATTTTCAGGCAGTTCGCGAACTACGTCGAATCTCTCCCAATTGACTGGATCGTTCTCAGCTGAAACCATGAATGGAATGCCACGTGGATCGCCAGAAGCTTTGCTCGATAACATGGCTATCACTTTTGAGCAATTGAGAATGATCAACGATCTCCGTCAGCGAAACGAGCATTGTCAACGGGAAACTGAACGGATGAAGGCTATTCTAGAGGCGTCTACTCTCATCGATACCCTCGATAAGAAAACATCATTGAAGGCATTCGAAGCTGTTCGTGTTACTGAACTCGAAGGAGCCTACAATCGGCTGAAGAATGACATGGAACGAATAGTTTCTGGGCAGAGTGGAGCCACTCATTCCGTATTCGAACGTATTATGGAGGAGAATGAGCGTCTTCGTGATGAAGCTGTCGAGTTGCGTTCAATGCTCTCCAGTCACTTTGAAAGACAATCAGTTGCTGGAAGTAGTGGATACAGAAGATCGCCAAGACCTGATTCAGGCCATTGTTCGGGAGCTGATTCTGAAGATGGCAGCAGCGGAGCTGATCTTGAAGAGGATTTGTGTATCGAAAGACAATGTAGACATCTCAAGAACCTAGCTGAGTGAGTGAAACTGCTGGCTGGCTTAATGATTTGAAAAGTTTATCGAGAAATTTTTCCAGAAATCTGACGCGAATGCTGACCAATCAAAACATGGAAATCGAGCGACTTCAACAACAACTTCGATTCAGCGAGTCGCAGACTTCCTTCGTGAGTTTCAAAGTTTCAGAATGTAAAAAATATTGCTATTGTAATCAAAAACATCGTCATCCATCTCTTTTCTACTCATAAGTATTACTGTGGTAGATGATATCGGGTCCGGTTTTGGCAGGCGGGTCTCACGTTGAAAGTGACACCAGATGCGCAGACAAAAAACCATGACTAAGGGAATGACAGATGTTGAAGACAACATGCGTGGGCTTACTTCTTCTCTACGACCTTATTCAATTTTTCATCTCTCTACCCGAATATGGCCACAATTATGTTCGTAAACCGCCAATCCTCGATTCTCAAATTGTTTATTTACTCCTCACCGTCGTCGTTTTGTCTCCATCTCATTTCCTTATTTTCGGAAATTCGAGTCACTCTTTAAAAGAGTCTTTTCTCAACTCGGTTCTCGGAGGTGGTCTTTACTGCAAAATGTGGTCTCTTCTTCACAGAAATGTGATACTAGTCTATTCTGTGTCGTCAATAGAAATGTATTTTTCGATGTTTGTATACTAGTGTTCGTTTCGTTTTCTTCCTGCCTGTCCACCATCAAACTATCATCCGTCGGACATGGATTATGAGATTTTTTTTTACTCATTCGAGTGCCTGGTAGCCCCGATGGTGGTCATCAGAGATTATGTTAGTACTAGATATTCCCATTCTCTAGTTTTTTCAAACTATTGTTTCCCACTAGAAATCGATTGGCCTATTACAGTCATCATAAACACTCGATCACACTATTTGCTGTGTGACTATTTGAACACCTTTTTCATTTTCACTCTACTATTTTGTCTCTCTCCTAGGATTGACCTCTCTCTCTCTCTTCCTTTCTTCTTCTTCTTTTCCTACTTTTCTATGAATATTGACCAAAAGAGTGGAGAGGTGAATTGCCTCAACCAGTTAAAGCAAAAATCGTTTCGCAACTGCGCCTCCTTCACCACTTCATATTTTCTATTCCTCCTTTTTCATCTCCACACTTCATCGTTTTCGTCCGCTTTTGCCGCGCGAAGCATACACCTGCAGCGATTAGCGTTGAATTGTAATTATTGTTATTAGTTCGATGACTTTATTCCATTCCCATTTGCACTTTCAAATGAATCGATTCTCCAGATTCCTATTTACGACCTCAAAAATCTTATTTTCGTATAAAACCAATCACCATGGGGGATAATCTTCGCCTTGTTTTCGTATGCGCCAGCCTCGTTATTTATACATTCGATGTTGAGAATAGTGTGAGGTCAAGCGAAGCGGAGACATAGAAAAGAGCCCCCGTCTCCTGGCAAAAGCTTTCCATTCACCGAAATCTCCCACTTCCTGCTTTTAGGTCGTATCTTGGGTCGAAATGGTTTATGAGAGTGGCCTTAGTTTTTCCTTATAAACTCAACAGCCGTTTTTGAGTTCGAAAGTCTTCTTTCAGATCTTGTAAGAAGCTATTATACCTAGTTGATGTTTTTGATTTTTAAATATATTATTCCTAATTTTTCTGCTTCTCCTTTTGTCATTCTTAATAATGACAGACAGCGAAAGAAAAAAAACGCGAAAATGTCATTAAAAAGACAAGAGCCATGGAACAAAAGAAGCACCACTAGAATGACGTTTCGTTTTTGATGGGATTCTCTGTGTCCGCTCTGTTTTCTCTCGATGACTATTTTTCTTCTATTTTGGCTCTTTGTTTCTTTGTTTCTCTGAATTTTTCTTCCTATTGGGAAAATTAGAAACGGGAATCAATATGACTATTGGCATCCCGCAAATTTGAATTGCTAATTCTTGATTCTCTACTTCCAACACGAAGCTTTTCTTTCCCATCATGTTATTTTCAGGGCGTAATCTGTAATTGGGCGGTCTTCAATTTTCGATTTTAATTTTTTGTTTTTCCAATTTCTCAGCCACCAATTTTCTTCTTTTTTTTTCTTTCTTGTACGCCGTCAACAAGTTTCCGGTTCGTCTCATCCTCCATTTTCTCACTTTTGCACTGACATCTTCGTGTGCTGCACCCCAACGCCTCCAAAATGTGCATTCCGAATCGGTTTTCGAATGATGAATGAGCGAGAAACAGAGAGAGAGTCGTCGTCTCTTCTCATATCGCTGCTCACAATTTTCTCCTTCTCGAATTTTTTTTCGGTGTGCCCTTCTCTTTGTTTCTCTCGATCCAAAAAAACTGGCCTTTCCTCTTCATCTCCATTTTTTTCTCCGTATTTGTTATTCATGAATTCTTACTTTTCTGGATCTTTTCTTCTTTTATTTCTGGACCTAGTAGATTTGGACCAAAAATTTGGTTACAGATTCTCTGAATTTTCATAATGTTGGAGTTCGATGAGATTGGAACTTCTACACCTCAGCCTAGTCTTCAGAGTCGAATGGCTTCGGCCGCTTCCTCTGATTACTACTGTATGACATTCGATGAGCCTGAGGAGATGGATGATGTTACATTGAGTAGTTCGGCTACAAGCAAGGCAAAATTCTTTGTTCTAAACCAAAAAATGTTCTAATGACAACAATGGTTTCAGAGGCCATCCGACGTATCATTAGACGAAGCTGTACGAGGCGCACATAAGCAGACTCAGCTGTTGGCTCAACAAAACATGGTAATTTTATTCATTTTCTTGGCAGTATATGAACAAGAGAGTTTCAGGATCTCAATGATAAACTGACTCGTCAATCGGAAGAATTGGCCGAGGCACGTGCTCAACTCCGTGGTTACAGTGGACCTTTGGGATTAGGTGAGCAAGAATTGTGTCGTGGTTTGTCGCCTGCCAAATCGATGCTCTCGTCGATAACCACCATGGATTCGGACGTCGTTGACGGATTTGGCGGTGGTGGCGGAGACTTCCGACGCAGTCGTCGATCTCGTCCAACTAACATAGATCCGCCAATTTCGTCTTCGGCCAGCTCGTCGGGTCAGAGTAGTGTCTATCACTCTCTGAACACGTCGCTAGCATCGCAGTGGCATTGGTCACATGTATCCACTCCGACGACTGGAAAAGTGTCCACACCTTCATCGAACCGCCAATTCGTTTACCCACCTAATGTGAACACATTCTATAGTTTACGCGACGCTGTGGGAACTTTATTATCACAATTGGCGCGTAGTTTGGGACTTTCAAACACGACAACGACACCTTCCCCTTAAGTATCCGCCGGTTTGGTGGCTTTGATTGTTGTGTGAATCATACAATAGGGAACTGAAACCAAAGTATTAATAAAAGAGTGATGAGTTAATATAATACTTTCAAATATTATAATAGTAATTGTGTGTTAACAAGTTTTCGAAACCACCAATCCGACCGTCCCTACTGTGTCGTTTCCCACTTATTTGCACGTGGTTAGTTACCATCCTCTTTCCACCCCACTTATCTTTTAGTTTCTTTTCCTAAACATTTTCTGTTATATCACATGTTCCGTCTTGTTTCTGCACCACAACCAACGTGTTCTTTTTTTTCCTTGCCCCGTTACCTCTTATCCTATATTTCGATCTCGCTTCTTCGTCCCTATATCCTTCCCTTGTTTCCCTGCTGCTGTAATTGTATCTTTCCATCCAATTACATCCCTCTTCATTCAATTTTAACCACCTACCGTATTTCATGTTCCTTAGTTTATACACTTCATTTTTCTACCTAAATCCCATCCCATCCTTCTTCACCCAGTTGTTTTGCTATCAGTTCTGTGTGCGTGTACTTTTCTGTTTTGCCCTCTTAATATAAAGTTTTAACACATTTGTTACAGTGTGGTTGATGGTTGGTGATGGTGGTTTTGAGAGCAACTTTCTATTGTACTTTTCAACTTTTTGTTATGTTTAGTTCTAGCATGATTACCGTAAAACCTGTAATAGAAGAGTCCCTTCACTTTTAACTTTGGGCGGAATTATCTTGATTCCTGCGGAAGATATAAAAATTTTGTCAACTGATAAAATATTTGTGCAAAAATGATAAAAGTTTTATTAGTTGACAACATTTTTGATATCTTTCATATGAATAGAGATAATTGAGCTCAAAGTTTGGGTCGGGTTCTATTAAAGGAAAATGGTTTTTGCACCCGTAAAAACAGTAAGTACAAAAACGTGATAATTGGTAAACGGCGCTATTCGTGAATAGAAATAGAAATAGGTAATCGTATTAGCCCTTGGTTGAATAGAACGGTCATTCGATTAATTGGCTGGATTGATTCGCTCCCCCGTCTCTCCCTCCTTTTTTAGCAACAAATCAGTTCCCATCGTTTGGTAGTTAGTTACCAGAGTGAATGTTTGTATTGTATACAGCTGAAGGAAGAAGCCAGCTTGTTTAACACGATTTATTCCCTTCTCTCCCATTCGTTCTTTCCCACTTTTATCTCTTTCTATAGAAAAGAGACAGGCACTGAAAACAGATGTTGAAGACTATTGCATCGATCGACCACTAAATTCGTTTCATTTTTACAGAAAACACATCGGACGAAGAGATCATTCGCCTCGAGGCATTCGACAAAGGATCCGTGACACACAGCGGATTTTTGGAAGTCTACAACGTTCCAGAATTCGCGAGAATCATTGTTTGTGGTGAGTTTAGGCCCGAAGATAAGATAAGATATAGTTATTATACTGGTTAAAAATTGGAGCTCTGGAAAAGGGCATGTCCGAATGTCCCTCAACGACAACTACCGTATGCTAAAAATATGATCATTTTTCGGATTTATTCTCTCGATTTTTCTGCGTTTTCAGTCAACTTTTTTCACGGTCAAAATTTTTTATTTTTCGACGAAACTCGGCGAAAAGTAGTGAAAAACCGGAAAAAATAAATCCAAAATATAAATACTTTTAGGTTACTGTAGTTTTCGGACCTTCGACCACAGCCACCGCCGTTTCTCCTCTTCCACAGCTTCGATTTTTTTGCACCAGAATAATATTTATTGCTAAAAATCTTCATTTTCAGAGCTGAAACCAAGTCTGGCTCGCCTTCTGACCAAGAATCTGCCCGCCTATCTTCTTCTCGCCGCATTCCGCAATCATGACGAAAAAAGAGACGAAACGGCTCTCACCGGTCTCTTTTCTTCGGTCCATCTTGTGCTCAAAGATACGATCTCGCGTTCGCACGATCTCGACCTACTGTCGTTATGGCTTGTGAACCTCTGGCGTCTTTTCAACCTCCTTCGTCAGTATTCTGGCGAGGACAAGCAGCCAGAATGGCACGTGGCCAATACTGAAACCCAAAATTCGTATCGATTCAAAGCCTACGATGTGGCACCGATTCGTGATCAGCTCAAGTTGAGAATCGAAGAATGTTATTCGAGTTTGATGAAGAAAGCGATTGAACATGTGTTCAGTCCTAAAATCGTGCCTGGTATTCTGCAACATGAAAGTAGTAGTGATCTAATGACAGCTGGACAAGACAAGAGAGATCGTGGAGGTGTCGATTCGCAGAGGAAGAGTCTCGATGATCTGTTGCAGTTCATGGATCTTGTTCATACGAAACTGAAGACGTACGGAGGAGATGACGTGGTTGTGAAACAAGTCATCGGACAAATGGCTAATTGGATGTGTGCTCTTGCATTGAATCATATGATGTTCAGAAGAGAGTTGTGCAATTTCGAGAAGGCTATTCAGATCAAGTAAGTTCTTTTGATAGGTCGAGATTTCCATAAAAAGTATTTCCAGACACAACGTCACTGAAATCCAAAACTGGCTCAACGGAAAGGGACTTCCAGACTGCCGTGAAAATCTGGAACCACTCGTCCAAGCTTGCCATCTTCTTCAAAGTCGAAAAGATGCTTCTAACATGGATACGCTTTGTGGAGAAATGACGAGTCGTCTGAAGCCACGTCAAGTTGTTGCCATCCTCCAACATTACGATCCATCGGACGAGATGGAGGATGGATTGTCTCCAGAATTCCTTATACAAATCCAGAAGAAACTCAACGAACGGGCAATTGCTAATGGTGATCCAATTGAAGATAAGGTTTGTTTAAAAATATTCTAATTTGCAATATCTTATCTTTATATTTCCAGGATACACTGATCATGATGGGTACCTACCTTCCACCGTTCAATACTCATCCATTCTCCTACTCGGACTTCCCACTCGAAACCTTGAGTCTCCCCAGTTGCTTGCACATGCAAAGCGTTTGTAGACTTGTATAATTTTATTTATCAATCTTCTCATAATTCTTACTGATTTACATCACCGGTCTCTCTCTACTGCTTCCCACATTTTTTTCATTCAATTCGTCATATTTTTGTGAATTTCCCTTACTAACTCTAATCATATTTGCAATACTGATCTAGTCGGTTATCCCAAAAAAAAACTTTTTTTGCTTCCTGTCACCTCTGTGCATGAAATTCACTTTTTCAATAGTTTCAAATGACCCCCAACTCTCCATAATACTTGTATTCGCATGTTCATCCCCTCCCCCTATTTATTGCTTTCTATTGATCCCAGTTCTTATCATTTCCGTCTGTGCTGCTGAAATAAAACTATTTATCTTCTGAAAGACCCCATTCCGTTCTTCCACGGCGAATCACATTTCTGTTTATAAATCAGTGAAAAGTACCACACATACACAAAACGGAGGAAAGAGAAAACGCGCTCTATTGAACAAGAGACATCGAGTTCTTTTTCTTTTTTTATTCAATGACAACACAGATAATAAGCTTCAACCTAATTTATAAATACTACAAAAATTTCAGTAAATGACGAATCACATTCAGCACTTGTTTATAATCAATCGTGCCGGAAGTTTGATTTATAGTTGGGAAGCCAGAATCGAAACGGTTTGTGTTTTGAAATACAGTTATGATGATAGTATTAAAAATCAGATCTGTGGAAGAGAAACGCTCAGTTGCGTANATGGCTTAATTTTTTTCATTTAAAAATGCTGGATTATTACTGTAATTGCTCTAAATTAATGACTGTATATGCCTTAAAACCTGTAATGGAAGGGCACCAACACTGTCAAGTTTGAGCTCAATTATCTCAATTCATTTGCA